AACCAAAGTTAGATGGTAAATCTAGCAATTAAGCCACTAATATTATATTGAAGGTGGCTGTAAATATCGGCAGTTCAGTAGCCACAGATCTTCCTGTTCTGATTTAATTGCAACAAGTATTACCTTTGTCCATAGACCTTAGCTTATTCCCACTTTTAGATATGTTGACTGCAAGCTGAACGTTTTGGCAGGTTTATAAGCGATCAATGCATGGCCAAGTGTACGCTGCAGATAATTTTGCTCGCATTTATATAGGAAGTTGCGAGCAGCGCGATATGTGTTTACCGTCACGGCTGTTGACTGCGGCTCGGTGAGCACGTCTTGCCTATTCCCGATGCTCGCTTCTGCAGTCCCTAAAAGCTGGAATCTCTTCTCCAGCACTTGCTGCTCGCGCTTGCTCCTTAAACGTCTTGAAATGGCGCGTCGCAGACTAACGCAGGCTCACAATTCCCCTGTTTTACGTCTAGTGCCGACTCGAGACTTCTTTAGCCGGCCATTTGGGCCCTAATTTGTGTTGTATTGTGAATAAGAAGAGTGTCCAGCTTTGTGAGCCTGTGAACAAGACAGCGAGTGTTATGCTTTCTTGTGCATGAATACGCTTATGACTGGGCTATTGGGTTGACATTGTTAACGGAAGGTCGCATTGAAAACTGTTTGTTATCGGAGGGCTGCATGTGTGTATATATATATATATATATATATATATTTTCAATTTCACTTGAAAACGCATTATAATATTAATTAATTTAGTAGCCAAGGACTTGTATGCACTGCAATGCGGCGACACCGCTGAGAGCTTACTAGCTTCACGTGAAATGGTGGCATTCAATTTATGAGAATTATGACCACATACTGTACAGGGTGCAAAATTCGCTGCAAATAGATAAAGTTTATAGCTCTCTGGTGGTCGGATGAGGTTTCAATGAGCTTCGAAAGGGCGCATCAGAAAGTGGACGTTTGTTACGATACAAAACTGCGCCGTAAATGATGTCTTATTATTCTTATCGAAATGTATTCAAACAGAGATCTCATGGTTTTAAACGAGATCTGCCCTGAAGGAAGGCACGGAATGTGTATGCGGAAGGCGCTCTAAAGATTACTGCAAACAGAAGTTGCAGAAAGTTGAGAATGCCACAAAAAGTTGAGGGTGGTGAGAGATAATCCAGGGCGGCACGGTTGCTCACAGCTTGCAACCTTTGTGTGGGCAATACAAAGGTCATGCTGTGCCGCACTGCAACTCGGCTAGCCACTTGCACCGCATAGCTCACTTTACGAGGTCATCCAGTGGTTACCGTGATCGCTCTTGCTTTCATAATCGTGCCATTAACTCACATGTATCAATCCTTGATGATATTGAGGCATCTCAACTCTGATTTACCATCATGAGATAGGCGCTCTCATCAATCAGAGAGGCGACTCATCTCGTGAGAGTGAACCCATCGAGACAGAACTTAACACTCGTTAATCAACTCGCCATGATAGCGCTGCCTGCACTCGAGGCGCTGTGAATGCTTATCTCGGCGACGAATATTTAGTTATTACCATGTAGTGACGGACATGCTGTGACGGACATACAGTTGTGACGGGCATGCAGTTGTGACGGGCATGCAGTTATGACAGGCATGCAGTTATGACAGGCATGCAGTGACGGGCGTGCAGTTATGACGGCATGCCGTGACAGGCATGCAGTGACAGGCATGCAGTTATGACAGGCATGCAGTTATGACAGGCATGCAGTGACGGGCGTGCAGTTATGACGGCATGCCGTGACAGGCATGCAGTGACAGGCATGCAGTTATGACAGGCATGCAGTGAGTGAAAGCAATGAGGGACGTACGATGATAAATAGTCAATGATACAAACATTGCATGTAACGAGTTAACGGCATTGCAAATGTTTACTATTAGTTTCGGAAGTTCATAGCTCTCAAAAATTCCTCACGCCCTGAGCGTGAATGCCTGAAGTGCCGTGAGTGCCAAGTGCCTAGCGAGCTACATTACTGGCACTTCCTTAACAGCGGCACCTGAGCGCTTGGGGGGCGGCTCTGGCACTCATAACTTACAATGCTTCAAAATACCAGGAAATATTCTGGAAGGTAATAATAACACATTCATAAACCTGGCGCTTCATATCGTATGAAGTTTACGACGTGGCGTGAGCTTTCAACAATTTTGCTCGCAAGCTCCGGAATTTATTTCTATTGACATTTTGAAGTTTATATTTCGTGAAGAAGATTGTTGACAATATGCAATTCATGCATTGGGGTAGTCAACAAGTTCGTGAAATATAAGTTGAAGCGAAAATATTTCAGTAATATTTTAACAGTTTCATTTAGGCTCAGCATGGTACATGAATATGCAATTAAAGTGTGCAGCCGCTCTTCTCTGCCTTGGTGCTTCTTGTAAAATGCTTCTGATTTAGCCTAATAATTTCATTTGCTCATTATATTACATTCGTTCTGTAATATAGCGTAGTGCATGAGTGTTGTTTAAGGATAAGGTTCTTTTATGGGATGCCTGGCAGCGGACGTCTGTGTGTGTTGGATGGAGGAATTCATATAGAGGATGAAGGCTTACAGCTGCGACTGACGAGGCGAACGTGTTTGACGTCAGTCTTGGTCGGCGAGTCATGTCAACTTATAGTCAAGTATTTGATGGATGAATGAAACTGTAAAGTGGGCGCAGGTTTATAGGATATTATAGCTTCGACTTCCGAGGCATATACATTCTTGTCGTCGCAGGCTTGGTCACCGTGTCTAGAAGTTATTGTCAAGTATTTGATGGATGAATGAAGCTCTGGGACATGATAGTTTCAACTGTTGAGGCATACGCTAGTGTCGTGCGACATTAGCACCATGCTAGTCTAGTAATATCGGTATCATGCTAGTCTTGTAATATCGGTATTCACGTGTGAATATCAGAGGTGACCATACACAACAACAAACGCAAGATCTTGTGAACCTAGTGAGGGCATTGCACGTTCCTTGCCCACCCCGTCACGCTCACGTCGCAAGAGCACCGGCGACGTAAAGGTGATACGCGCTCTCTTATAAAGGTGATAGGTGCTGAACGGTGAAGGTGGTAGGCGCTCTCTGGTTAAGGTGATATGTGCTGATATGTTAGAAGGAAAGGTGCTAAGTGTTAGAGATGACAAGCACTGTGCTACGCTGCTGCTTTACCTCTGACACTGCTGATGTAATATTTCTCACTTCTCTGTTCTCTGCCGTCATGAATATCTGCACTTAACTGTGAATTAAGTGGCTTTTGATGTGAATCCCATACACTGGGCGGGTCATTATAACCAAAAAAATATGCCTCAAACGATGCAGCTAGTTCACTATTGCTGCAAACATTCATAATTTCTACGCTAATTTGCCTACAAGAATGCGCGTCGGACGCACTGTTGAACTAATTACAACATGAACCAGTAACACCAAGTTTTTGGCGCTGCGCGGTTTCGATGTCTCGTCATGAGATTTGCTAGACAAGCACTCCGATATTGCGTCGACTTACCTTCAATCAAAATAATATTACTGCCATTCATGGAAGCCCGAGCAGTTTCCGCTCATTTATTAGAATAAAGTATCCGTTCTGGTGTGAGTGACGCTATGAGATGTGCGGATGATGTCGCTGAGAAAATTCTAACGTCACGGCAATAATTTAATCAGAGAAGCGTATTCTAGGGTTATTAAAAAAGATCCTCAAACACCGAGGTAAAAGTGTAGCTCATTTTTTTGGTTTTAGCCTTTAATTATTACCTTGAAGCTTTATATTTTGCATCATCTGACCCGACTATTCATTTAGATGTGAAGAAAATGCTGTGCCGAGTTTCGCTCACACCAGATCCAAGTTATCTGCGTCGCGAGCTAATGACCTCCGAGCTTGCGGAAGTGACTTGGTCGCATAGGTGCTCTCGAAACCAGCGGGGCTGATAATGCCGTTACTCACACGTCTCGTGTGCTCCTCGTGAACCGCCTCAACATTGACGTGATAATCTGCGCGGTTGTCGTTAGGCGAGTGGCAAGTGGCATGAAGCGTCGGGGCTAGTGGCGCGAGTGGCATGCCATGGCATAGAGCGTATAGGGAGTGAGTGGTGCGGATGGCAGGCTGTGACACGAAGCGTAGGGGCGAGTGGTACGAGTGACAGGCCCGAGTATGAAGCGTAGGGACGAGTGACGTGAGTGGCAGACCGTGACATGAGGCGTTTGAGCGAGCGGCAGGCTGTGGCATGAGCCGATGAGCTGTGCTACTGCTGTTCGTTGCGAGGCTAATACTGCTTATGCCATTATTAAAAATGCTGCTCTTTCTTCTGTTTGGCGTTGACTGTTACTCGTGCTGCTACCGTTACTAATATAACTGCCTACTGCTGCAGTTACTCCTGCCGCTACTGTTACAGCTATAACTGCTGCTGCTGCAGTTACTCCTGCCGCTACTGTTACAGCTATAACTGCTGCTGCTGCAACCGCCTCTCGCCTCCTTTAAAGGGAAACGCTCGGTGCGGCGGCGGACTCTCTCACCGTCACTTTGCTCTCTATTATCTCTTTACCTCTTTTCCTCTCGTTTTTCCATTTTCGCTTGCTTGTACTGATCTATATTCTATCGAAATCCATTACCAGGCTAGAATGCACATTTGTCTCGCGCAATGGCTGTGAAGATTCGTCAATTTAGTTCCCTTCCATGAAGTGTGTACTTAAACGTTACTCATTGATCGATTACTTTATGCTGATGTGTAATTTCTTTCGTGCTTAGAATAATAACAACTTTGTCACTGCACATAAATTGGATATGATTGTTACTTCCAACCGCATACTCTCGGCAACATTTTTCGCCATTTAGGTTTTTTGTGTTTTTATCTCATTCACATGATTGATGCTGACTTTATCATTCGTTGACATAACCATCTCTGTATTGCTGATGTATATTGTTGTGTACGTGGGTTTGGATTCATCACTAACAAACTTCGTTTTTCTTCTAACCCTGGGTGCTCCTGGACTCATGCAGGCATCAAGTGTGAGTAAATCGAGTTGCTCTATTCTTCCTTCATCCACTTCATTCTTTCTAACCCTATAGCACAGTATTTTTCAACGTTTCCATCATGTTAACTTATTTTGCCCAGCCTTCTCCTATGAGTATGTCACCCCCTGATCATTAATAAATAGAGCTGAATTGATTGATAGTACGTATTTTTCTTCCCTTAACTACCTTCTAATAATGTTCACCCTAACAGATTACTTACCGCAGTTTTCGCTGCAGAACTTGAAGTCATAGCTACATTCGTATTAGTGCTTTGTTTAAACGCAGGTTTGTGTCTGCGTCCTAACCGAAGTTCAAATCAAATTTGGTTACTGGGCAAACCTTTCATCATAGACCCCATGGCACTTTAGAGTACAAACCCGACGACACGAACGCAAGTGCATTGAGTGTCCAGCGACTGTTCTCTAGCTGCATTAACTTTCTTATCAATATCAAGATATAAAGTTGATTTCGAGTGTCTTGTGTCTACTTGAAGTTCGCTTTGATTGTTATAGTCCACTTGTTATGAAAAGCACTCATAAGGTCAAAAGCTCAATGGTAATAATTTCTTGCAACTTTTTGTGATTGCAAAGACACTCGCAGGACCAACGATAAGATTGTCTTTTCTCGTGGAATTTCACTCCGATGTTAAAATCATCAACTTTACCGCTCACCTGCACCTCCTTCATGCTGCATGCAGTCTGTTTACCTTTAATGTGTTTGCCCACTGCACATTCCCATTGTATCACAGGACACCGCGTAAGCGCCACTTGAACATCTGCTATAAATTTCTTTTATTTTGCTTTTGAAAGTGACTGGCACGTTGCACTCCTTTCTTCCGAAACGTTGGTCTTGACCACCCACTTATTGTGTCTTTTTTTCTCATGTAATCGCAGCTTGGTTATTTTTCTGAATAAAATATTTTTATATATCGATACTTCCATTCAGTATATACATACTTGACCTTTTATATAAAAAAGCTTACTTGTACGTGTTGATGATTGCATGAAAACATTCCCTGCGGGGAACAACCCGCACGTGATTCTGTCGCTCACGCGTGCCACAGTGAACTCTGCTTCATTTCATTGTTAATCATTGCACTCTTAGACTATTCACCACACAACCTTGAATCAATGTAATAATATGTTCTTATAAATATTAATATGTCCCTAATGTGCCGCAGACACGGACAACCAGCGCGTGATTCTGCTGATCACGGACGTGAACGATGAGCCTCCGTACTTCATCAACCGACCGCTGCCCATGCAGGCTGTGGTCAAGCTCAACGCTCCCCCCAACACGGCCGTGTTCACCCTGCAGGCCAGGGACCCCGACAAGGATCATGACATCCACTACTTCCTCGTCAGGGACAGGAGTAAGAACATAATTATTCATATGGCAGATATTAATAGCATTACATTTCGGAAATTATTCATGTGTTCCGGATATAGTCAATGTACTTGTGTACTCTCGAAAAGTTGAATTTCGATAACGAAAGGAAGGATCGATATTTGAGCTCATAGGATTTGACCTTTATCTTGATCAAGATCATTGTCATGCTCTGGAATAATTTACCCTTTTGAATACGCAATATCATGGTCAGCCTGACGCCGTGTGCCGGTAATCCAGGCCATTTGCGTTAAACCGTTGGGCGTTAATCGGTTTTGAACGACCGCCGCTATTCCATCAGCAGCCACACTTTGAGTTCATCGGCATTACTTTAAAAAATATCTGCGAGTTGCAATACCGTCTGCTTATCAGTGTCAGTTTTTTAAGATAAACCTACTGATCACAGGCAAGAAATCACGCGCCACGTCTAGTTCGCTAGTTTTGATTGTAAGGTCACAGTACAGTAAAGTTAGGGATAGTGGGAGCAGCTCTCGACGCAAACCAGTGAGACGGATCTCTCACCAACGTTATGTACTATTATGCGTACTTTGCTGAGGAGTACATAAACAGCTGGCGCAATGTGCACACCATTACAAGTGCTGAACACAGACAGCAGTTGAGGGCGTTTCAGGCAACGCTGCCGTGTGTTACTCAGAATAGCTCGCGCGGGCTATCGCTGGCAAACCCACTTCCGGTGCTAATTCCCCATGAATCGAAAGATCTATCCCGGAAATGATTAAAGATTGTACATTATTATTCCATTATATTGATGTATCAATAATAATGGTTGGCCTAATTCGCGAACGCCTTTTCTTAGCGAGATGACAGGCACAGGCCTATAGTTTTATTAACTGCTAATGCATGTCATCTGCCTGCAGCGGGCGGACGCTTCGAGGTGGACGAGAAGTCGGGCGTCGTCCGGACGCGGGGATCGGAGATGTTCCAGCTGGACATGGAATATGTGCTCTACGTCAAAGCCGAGGACCAGAACGGCCGCATTGACGACAAACACTTCCAGTCGACCAGCGAAGAGCGCCTCTCGATCGTCGGCGGCAAGAGGCCTCCACAGTTTTATCTGCCCAAATACGAGAAGACCATCCTCGAAAACTCCGCCAAGGACTCAGAGTAAGTTAAAATATTCACTTCCTTAGTTTATGTGAAGTTTTTTGACTCCATGTGCAAGGAAATAAATGAGACTGTAGCTGACATCTACAGTCTCATTTGCACTCATGGTAGAAGACAATATAAACTTCTTATTTATACATATCACCACGTGCGAGTCCCTATGCTCGAGCTTCAGGCGGTTCTTTTGACGTTTATTAAGGATATTTTCTTTGCCAAGCTGTTAATTGTTTCGCTAAATTTCTGCATCAATTTTATTTCCGTTAATGCTGTGTATGAAATAATTTCTCATCTATAACGCGTGTTTGTGGTGAACAGCATCATCTCGGTGAAGGCGAAGTCGTTCGCTGACCGCGAGATCCGGTACACGCTGAAGGCCAAGGGCCAGGGCGCTGGCACCTTCAACATCGGGCCCACCTCCGGCATCGTGAAGTTAGCCAAAGAGTTGGACTTCGAGGACGTCCGACAGCCGCACATCTACCAGCTCGTCGTCACCGCCACTGAGGACTCGGGAGGCTTCTCCACCTCGGTCGATGTGAGACTCGCTATTAGCGCTTATTTTCGTCTTCTTTCTTCTCATTATCGTTTTTATCGTCTCTCGTCTTCATTTTATTCAACCAGTTCCTCCCTTTCTACCTTCCTTCAGCAGTTCAGACTTCGCAGCAGCTGGCTCTCCTTCAACTTTTTGTGGATGAATTTTTTATTTGGAGAGCATAGCCCGAAGCTGTCTTCCATTAAAGCTGCGTCTGCATCGTAGGCTGTATTGAACTTTTTAGCGTTGTATGAATGAAAAAATCATGTATTATTCAAGTGGCTGAGTTATTCTGCTCGTTCATATCACTGTTGGTAAATTGCGCTCTGAAATGAAGTTGACGTCCATGTCCGTACTTAAGTTATAACATTCTAGAATGTTCTGTCACCTGATGATGAAGTTGATGAAGTCGAATTGTTGACATACTCCTAATTGCGGTGATTTTCTTTCATTCAGCTGACGATCAAAGTGAAGGATGTGAACGACAACCCCCCGAAATTCGACCTGCCCGACTACCAAGCCCACAACATAGACGAAGACATCGCCATCGGCAACACGGTGCTCAAGGTCAAGGCTCGCGACGACGACGTGGGCACCAACGCCGAGATCGTCTACTCCGTCAACGACGACCACTTCCGTGTGGACAACAAGGGTGTCATCAAAGTCAAGAAGACACTCGACGCGGACGACAACAACGCGTACTACATGTTCGACGTCGTAGCCAAGGACCGAGGCGACCCTCCCAAAGAAGGCTCCGCTACCGTGCGAATCTACACCAAGAACAAGAACGACGAAGAGCCAAAGTTCTCGCAGCAAGTGTACACGCCGAATGTGGACGAGAACGCTGGCCCCAACACCCTCGTCACGACAGTCGTGGCGTCCGACAAAGACGGAGATAAAGTAGAGTTTGGCTTCGTTGGAGGGGCGTCCGAGTCCGGGCAGTTTGTCATCGAGAAGATGACGGGTGTTATACGCCTGCACAACGGCCCGATATCGCTGGACAAGGATAAGTACGAGCTTAACGTCACGGCTGTGGACGATGGCAGTTGTTGTCCTGGCGGCTCCAGAAAACGTCACACTTCCACCGCTGTTGTCGTTGTCTTCATCACTGATGTAAACGATAACAAGCCGATCTTCCAAGAGTGTGGGTCCTACCACGCCAAGGTGGAGGAGTCAGCACCCAATGGCTCCCCCGTCATCACTGTGCACGCCACAGACGACGATAAAGGCGTTAATGGTCAGGTGCGCTACAGCATCGTGCAGCAGCCCAACCAGAAGGGCGCCAAGTTCTCAGTTAACCCCGAGACTGGGGAGGTCACCACCAATAAGGTCTTTGATCGCGAGGGGGAGGACGGCAAGTTTGTGTCTGTGACCGTCAAAGCCACGGACAACGGAGACCCGAGCTTGGAGGGCGTGTGTTCCTTCACAGTCGAGATCACCGACATCAACGACAACCCACCGCTCTTCGATCGGCAGGTTTGTGCGTCACATTAACTCTTCCGACTTGTTGCTGATGAAAAACATTACTGATGTTTATTTGCCTTGAATTTCTCTGGTCTAAATGCTGTTGTTTTGGAATAAAGTAAAATTTACAAGTTTTTATTATACTTGTGCCCTTGTTAAGTTTTCGTTTTCATCGGCTTTGCCAAAATAATAGCAATAATTTATCGTACAATGTGGGGCCAATCGCCTAAACACGAGCTCATTTCATGCTCACTTAAGAGCTTTCATTCCCTATGCGTGGCTGAACTAGACAGTGCGCCATGAAGTGCCCTTCTACTGTTAGTAATTTTCTATAAATTTCAAGTTTTGCAGTCTCTCTCATATTTTATTTTGTATACAGAAATACGTGGAGAACGTGAAGCAGGACACGAATGCAGGCACGAACATCCTGCGGGTGTCAGCCTCCGACGAGGACGCCGACAACAACGGCGCCATCGTCTACAACCTGACCGCCTCCACCAGCCCCGCCGACCTCCAGTACTTCGAGATCCAGCCTGAGAGCGGCTGGATCATACTTAAGAAACCTCTGGACGTAAGTAATCCTTAGTTACTCACGTGAAATGCTCGGGTAGCGGTAATAAAAAACGTTACATGGCGAGTCATGAAGTCTCCTATGGAGGTCGAAGCTGGCACAGCGGCCGAGTGTGTACGGAGCTGGGGGTTTGCAATAGTGGATGTTCCTATGGGCGAACATATAGCCTTATAGGTACTTCAACCAGCAGTGGTGGAAGAATTGATTTAGTTGTAATTGATCTTGAAAAGTCAGAGTTTTCTCATCAGGATAGTGTAGAATATCTTTCTTGCTTTAACAATTAAATTAATGAGCGTAATCGATATTCCAGCACATTTTTCAGTTTACTTCGCCACGTGTCGCCAGCTTACAGAGGTCTGTGATTATTCGTATTTTTCATCATATAATATTGAACTCAAGAAAATTACAATAACATTGGCCGAATAGCTGATTAACGTGGTCGCTCAGCTTCATCCATAAGCTTCTGAGGCTAATAAGTTCACAGCAGAGCAAGTGTTGCTCAGCTCCCGGAACTGCTGTACATTTCAGGTGGTGCGGCTAGGGAACAAAATCTGCTCGTGGTCACTTAGCTTTACTCGTCTTACTTGCATGCTTGCTCCATCCTCAGCTCCTGCTATCTCCAGATTTTACGCTTAGCTATTGACATATTTTTTTATCTTAGTTCGAAGAATATGATAAATTAGCTTCAAATTGGAATGAGCTAGCTTAATCGTGTCTAATTTTACCTCTTTGGCCACCGGTCGACGCTGCATTTATTCATTTTTATGGATTCGACAGAATTTTTTCTTCGGAATACTGCATCGTCACTTGGCTTCAAAGCAGTTTATCAATAGTTTAATTCTGAATTCATAAGAATTCAGTTGCCTTTTGGATCTAGCGTATATTGTCACTTTAGTTAGTCATTAAGGTTATGATGATTTTAATGTGTAGCATTTACTATCATGCAGATATACAATTTTTATTCCTTGTTGAGTTGAACCAAATTAACCCTATTGGCGGAAGGCAGATCTTAACCCTTTGTGTACTGACAGCACCTCTCGTCCTCAAGCCATTAGGTAGGAATAGCATTGATGACGGGAAATTTACATGAAGGCAAAGGGTTAAGTTCCCTATGATCGTATGCACATCATACTGATGTCTTTGACACGCATCCTGCCAAGAAAGCCATGACCAATGTAAGGAATATGTATGTAAGGCATATGCTAGTTGTCCCCTGACTAGAATTTGTTCAAACTACAGTAACTGCTTTAATGTCACCTGCCGCTAATAGGGTTATTTGGATTTGTTCTATCATTAAGGTGTGGTCGTCACTCCACCAGGTAACGTACAGCCTAGACGTAACACTTTCTTTAGTGTGCCTTCATATAATAATGAGTTTTTTTAATAGTGTGAACCTGATTTTTACATTTACTACTGGAGTGTCTGATAGCTTCAGCATGAAGACTTAGCTGTAACCTGCCCACGTGTTCAGTGTTCGTCTCTAGTTCGTGTGCAGTAGCGTGTCTATACGACTCAGTTTACATTGTGTGGCGATTTAGACTCACAAAGTCATTAGTTCAATCCAATACGTCTTTATAAGTTTTTTTCTATTCAGTATCAGATAATAGAATATTTTTTTTTGTGATAGCTAGATTCATAGAGAGAATATAATGTAACAATAGCGATTTTAGAGTAACTTGTAGTGTAACGATTGCTCGAATTTCCGTTTAAAAATTAGCCAAGATTGATAATTACGCCACGGAATGTAGACGTGAGTCGTCGCTGTGCATGACGCGTGTACGACGCTCCTCCTGGCGCGGCAGTCCTGCGGCTCAGGCCCATACTTTCAAAAAAAGTTTAGAGATCGTAAGTTCATCAGCCAATAACTAACGGCTTTTCAAGCAAAATGCACCAATCATAGATAAGAAAATAGAGCGTAAGTACTTCCGTTCACTTAGCGAGTTCTGAAAGTATGGCCCCACTGGTGCCCCGAGCTGCGCGACTGCAGGGCTGGGGTGACGCTCGGGGGTGGTAATTCTCTGGTCTGGCAGAGTTGGTATTGGTAACACTTGTTGCCAGAGCCTGGAGTGTTACCGGCAACACCTGTCATCTGAGGCAGAAGTGTCAGCGGTAACACTTGCCAGCAAAGATAGCAGTGTCACCAGTAACACTCGTCACTAGAGACAGGAGCGTCACCGGTAACACTTCTTGGAGGCGTTCAAGTCTATCTATGAGTTACTGAGTAATTTGGAAGCTCGACAGACAGGCTTACTGCCTGTGCTACGCGACCACTTGCTTCCACCAATACCACGTGTATTGACAATGCTGTGTACGACATTGACAACGTGTATGCTATGGTGGTTGGTGTAGGTTACAGGTACACGTTGTTGGTGCAATCCTTGGTATCACTTGCTGGTGTACGAATGCAGCTACCATTGCTATATTGTGAGCACCCTTTCATAATTTAGCTACCGCTGGTACACTGCGAGCACTCTTTGAATTTTGACTTTGATTGCCATACGTTCCTGCGTGCGATATGATCGCTCGCTTAATGCGTGCGTGTTGGTGTATTTGTGTGTATTGGTATGCAAGCGTGTGCTAGAGCTCTCCTGTTGATCTTGCCACGTTGGCTCAAGCTCGAAACGATTCACCTTTCGTCGAAAACAAAGGCTAAAGCAATTTAACACTAATATGCAGCGTCGTTCTTAAGAAAAATAAATCAGATTTGACCGAATGATTTAACATTCAAGCGCAATCATTACGACTGCTCCACAAAGAAGTCTGGGTCCTTCCTTGAAGTACATTTCTCTAACCTTGACGTAATTCATAAAAGGTCATCATGAGAAGTTCGTTGGCCACGTGCGTGCGTGTGGCATGACACGAGCTCCCCGCCATCACTTATTCTAGCCTTATTATATTGCATTAGTTTTATTATTACATATAATTCACGGCGCTCCCTTTCACCCCCACGTAGTGACGTTTGTCAGCATGATTCTCTCCAGCACCAAACAAAACTTCCCCTCACTGGTCCCCTGAATTCCCCCTCAACGCCCATCTATGGTCCCTTAAAACCCCTCTCAACGCCCCTCTCTGGTCCACTTAAAATTTCCTCTAAATTACCTCATGTGATGCTTGCGTCACCGCAGCACATTCCTCGCCCGTCACGATCTTAGATTATATTAGAGAGCTTTAATTTGGTTATTTTATTGTGGATCAATCTGGATTCAAAACTTTCATATCACTCGATCTGCTTTTCTTCTAAAGAGAGATTTATTAAGACCATTTCCGAATAATCAAAGTAAGGCAACGTAAAAACCGAAGTCTATACTATGATCGTTGAACCGCAAAATTTAGTTTGATCTTTTCTATCATTGCATTCATCACGACTTGCAGCGAATTGCTTACCTGTATTTGTAGTGGGCTTTGAATGAGCTGCGATGACGTGGCACTGTGTTTAGGAAAGGCTCAGGACTGAGAGCTTGAGTGTGTGGCGACCCTGCCACAAAGTCGTAGTCTCGCGAGCACCTCTCAATATGGTCGTTCACTGCAGCGCGAAGACTTCAGTATTGTGGTGGTGGCGAGAGACCGCGGCACTCCCTCACTATCGTCAGAGGTCTTGGTGCAGCTTTCTATTGTGGACCGAGCGAACCGACCCCCTGTGTGGGACCAACGGGTCTACGGACCCATCAACATCCCCGAGAATATCAGTGTGGGCCGAACGGTCTACTCAATCAAGGCCAGGTTTGTAAGGTCCTTCGGCAGGTCATTGCCCCTTGTGCGGTCGTTGCCACGGTACTTCCCTTACTAACGGGCTCGTCGTTTTGGGTGCTCAACACTTGATGGACTAACTTACTAATGTATAAGGTTCTTCATATCCTTTCCTCATCGTAGAGTTCTACGTGCGTACAGACGTTGACTAACGTACTAGTGTATTTGCTTGATCCCGTACTCATAGAGTTCTACGTCTGTTTAAACTCCGAACCATTTTTCCAGCTTATGTAGCTATAGTGCACCTCTTGAACGACGCTGCTCGTTCACTGTCGGTTTGTGCTGTGCACAACACAAATGAAACACGTGATGTGTGGGCAGCCTCGACCAATGAGTGTGAACGGTCCTATCCTGCTCGTCCAGCCATAACAATTGCCTGCTGCTTACCTCAACCTGGTCCAAGAACTGACTTGAGGATAGTTAACTGTTTTTGGTCGTCTTCTCGTGCCCACATGAGGGCACGTGATTGTGAGGGCATGGCGATAAGAACGGGCTCTGTCTCGCTCGTTTAACTGTACTAACCCTTTATCTTGGTGTACATTCGACGTTAGCTTTAAGAGCATGTTACTGCATCCTAATCTCTGTATATAGTATTAGAAAATGTAACTAATATGCGACTAACATGATTATTTGTATGCTTTACTTCAGGTACTCGCTGAGCCAAATCTTGTAAGTATACTGTAAAGCTAATATTTGTGTATTGCCTTCAGGTATGGCCGCTACTTCTGGTACCTAATCTAACACTTTGTTTGTCGTAATGACGGCCCATACAAACAAAATATTGGTGAAAAGCTGGATGGTCCTCTATGATCTCTTGCATTTCATGCCGCTATTTTGTTGTATGCTGCAGCCGCCATCTTGGGCGCTTCTCTGTGCTTTACGTACGATGCATCACAACACAGAAAGAGTCGTACCGTCTGACGGCTGTGGCGCAAGATCGTGGCTTTCCTCCTTTGTCGCGCAATGTTGAGGTGCAGATTGAGGTGGTGGATCGAGCCAACAACCCGCCCGTGTGGACACAATCTATATACGGCCCTATATACATCAAGGAAAACCTACCCGTTGGAGCGGGAGTTATCTCTGTCAAGGCCAGGTTAGGGCGCTCGTTGTATCTCGTCGTGTTAGGTAACCAAAGTCGTGAGCGCAACCCCCTTCAGTTTGCAACACTTCACTCACGTTCCTACTTATAACACAATCACTGCGGGTTGCCCGCACTTACTGTCCACTAGTTGAACGTAGCTTTATTCTCCCGATGTTATCACAAAGTTCTCTTTGTGCGAGTGCATGTGTTAACATCGGGAGGTGATGTCGCTTTTGTCACAGTGTCACATGTTGGGTGTTATGAGACACTCTTCGTACAGACCGTGACACTTGCGATGTTCACTGAGCTCGTCACTAGACTGCATAGAGCACTCACGCCCACACACAAATATCACTGAGTTTTATTGCGTTTCATCGTAATCCAGCTTTCTTTGCATTCAATTTTTTACTCAGTTTAATACTTTGCCTTTTTCCTCGCTCTTTATTGATTTTTTTTGGTTGTAGTAATTCCGTTTTCATTTCACTACTTATGTTTTGTAGCGATGAGCGTGCAACCAGCGGCCTTGTTCTTGCTAATTAGAGTGCCTTCACTTGACTACTTGGCACAGCAAAGGTGCATGATTTATGCACATCAACTGGTCTAGGTCACCGTACTTCTTGTCTCATCGAACACTTGCTCGGCTTTGCAGCATGCCAGAGTTTTTGTTTAGAGTTATTCAGGTGGCTTATGCAATCTGGAGTTCCGTTTCCATCAACTTCAACCATTGAGATAACTTCAACCTTCTCGCTCACTATACTGGCTCGAGGAACTCTAAGAATTTTCCTGGCAAGCCGCAAACGCATTCAAATCTGAAATAAAAATAAATATTGTCCACAAAGCTGGTTTGTCACTCTTTTAGAATCATTCGTATTGTGTCGTGTGATGATTTAGCTCCAATTCTTTTATTTTACGATCTCCAGCATGAGCAAAGGAGGAGGTTCTCCCACAAACCTGGTCACACGTACACTGCGGCTGCTAGTAACCTAGTATCTTATATTGCATGTTCTTATGCACGGTTTTTGTAAATAATTCTAAGTTAATGCATGCTCAGAACTAAACACTGCTATTTTCCTTGTAGTTTTACGTAACCATTGATATTGTTACTGCGCATCCTGTGAGTTTAGGCATTAGTTGGGACGACCGCGCTGCGTAAACGTCATTCAATTCCGAATTCATAAAACTACCTTGAAATATGTAGTGGAAAGTGGAATACTAAGTACTATATTTTTCATCGACAGTAGTTAAGAATGTAACTCAGTCGGGTTTAGATTATAGGGAATAAATAACGCCCCGTGCGAGATATACCGTACGAGTACGATGGCCTAGCAGAAGAAGTGCCTCAGAATCTGGTTAACATTTCAGTGAGTACGTGATCGGCATTGTGAGCTTCGGTTACGGGTGGAGAACAATAATTTGGTGACAGATCCGACTGTTGAGCGTCTGAGGAAGAGTTGGAGGGTTTGGCAAAATCTAGTTAGAGAATATCGATACCGCTTGTAGCCTTCCGTGAACTCAAGATTGAGGTTCTTCGGATTCATTTATAAGAGAACGGCCCTTGTTTCATCCTGTTTGTCATTGCCCCCGAACGTTGGCTTGAAGTTGTCGGACGTCAGACGCTGCGTCGTTTTTATAATGCGGCACCTTGCACGCAATCCAACTTGAAACCAGAAAAACATGCCATTCTATAGGCAAGTCCTTTCCTGCTTACCGCACTTGAGGCTAGCTATTGGGCCAAGTATAGTTGTGGGACCTTGTTTAACCCTCTACCGCCGTATGTCACGCTCCGGGAACATACAATTATACGTGAACTATTGTTTGTAGCAACCTGAGGACGTTTGTACGCAACGGGGAACATTTTAAAGTTGTGGTAGGAAGCGGCAACCATCAGTGCAAGTCATTTTGCGCTCACTACGTATCCTTTTTGGGAAGTATGCTTGTGACAATATTACTCCGGTTACTCATGTCAGGCGGTAGAGGGTTAAGGCCCTCTGCGGCTTGCTTTAGAGCCTCCTCCATACCTCGCGAGTCATCCTAGCTTAATTCCCCCACACCAAGTAGAGCTTTCGTGCCCTCTTGTTTCTGAGGGCGTTTTTAAGACGACCTTTACATTAGAAATTCATTAGTTATCCTGCTCACCTATAATATTCGAATATTCTTCGACGTGTGCATTGATTTATTTTCTAATGACCCAGTTTTGTGATTCGTAACAAATTAATATGGATAACTTTCTCTTGCTAGACCGTACAAGTTCATCCTTCGTAGTGTCCCGTACATCCTGAGATAACAGCGTATAGCTCTCATTGGTACCTGATTTGATAGGCTCTCTTCTAGTAACATCGTAGTACTATGATTTACATTATTATTTAGCACACATATTTATTTACAATTTATTCCTATATTTACTGTCATTTGTCACCGCATACATTTTAATTGCACATCCCTACTGCACCTTATACCAGTAAAATGCCGCACTCACTCACACAAAATTACTCATCCACTCTTTATGATACTTCGAATGTGTTCAGCCATTGAAATGTGCACAGACCAACGTGCCTCATGTGAAGAATCATTGAATGACATATCTTGTGTACCGGCACTATAGCACGCATTAGTTTAGCCCCCTCCTCGGCACTATATTTGCGTGTTGTTTATGTTGCACCTACAAGGCGTCATGGAGCCTTGAGTTTGCTGAGCAGCGGGCGGCATCTGTTTTGTGACGTGCACCTAATGGATGTTCACATGGCAACGCAATGGGGTTGAATAAGCATTTTTGTTATTATATGACTTGTATAATTATGTTCGCTGAGTCTCAGTATCCAATACTAATGATAACGCGTAAGATTTGAGCTTATAGTGAGACATCGGTAGGTAGATGACTGACCTAGAACTTTGGTTGACTTGGGATCAAAGGATAATCTTGTCTTACCTATAGTTTCTTACTTTGACTAATGAATCTTTACTGGACCTCCAGTTATGACGACAAATATAGTTCAAATGAGACCAAGCAACAAACAATTAAGATGTAGGTGCCTCATATTATGTCCTAAGAGCCCAACCAAAGAACACGTCCTCATGCTAATTAAATTGGCCTCCAATTTGATTGCCAGTGTAAGCGTGGTACAGGCATCAACGTGCAAGGATCACGTACTGGTAGGCGTCACGAGAATATCAAGGTCTCAATATTTAGCGTACTTAACTTTGCCTTTATTGACGCCATCAACGCCTAGCTAGCGTTCTCTGCGTAACTGTAGCTAATTGATTATCTATAGGTAATACGGTATCTTAGCTAGCGTCTCGTGCTACTCTTTACTCAGAGAAATTTACGACACTTTGTCCAAATAGCGATAGACTTTTTTTCTATTTTATGTCTTAACCTGATCAAGTTGGACCAGTAAAAGCACGTGTATCAGTGCTATACGTCCGTTCTTTGCTCTTGCTGTAGGAAAAGTCTTTATTTGGACAATATGATGCATTCATTTTTTTCTGCGTGTTACTTTGCTCAATATTTCTCTGCTACATAGGCACCGTACGTGCTGCAGTAGAAGCCATTACCTAGTGAGTAGGTGATAGCGTATACATAGAATACCGAATACATGCATAGGTAGCATCCGTATTTCATAACCGCAACGCAGACCTACTTCTCTCATATACCAACATAACATGTTGGATGTATTCTACCAACATAATATGTTGTATTTATATTACTAACCTAGCATGCTGTATATATGAAACCAACTTATCAAACCCATAGCATATAATACGTGTGTCCATTAGCGCGCGCTTCAATAGACGTCCCGTAATGTTCACACTCACAGCGTGTTCAGTAACTGCTTCTAGTAATGATTTGATTTGTACATATTTGTTCTGCCTGTATGTCTTTTCTATTCTTTGGTTTCTAAATTTATTTCAACTTATTTACTGGAACATTAAATACTGCCTACTAAACATCGATTAAAGTATGTTCAATTTTTATTGTGTTGTGCACTCGCTCAGGAGTGGCTGGTTGAGAAACTCATGCGTAGAGCTCAACCCGCTAGCCTGTCACTTGACACTAAACCAAAGCAAATCTCTCATCGCTTCAACATTACTCCCATGTTACTGCCCTAGCCAACCTCCAACTTGATCTATATGAGGCTTACAATGTTTCAATTTGGAAGTTATTTGTCCTGGTTGACCTCATCTGGATTATAGTTGGAATGATTGTCAGTGTACTTTTTGACCCAGTCACCCCTGGGTGCTCGGGATTACCTGATATAATTTGAAATAACTGATATAAATAATTTTTTATGCTCTACTTCTATCACCTTCCTTATGCAATTTTAACCCATATATTCTCTCAACTCCTCCACTCTGATCTTCGTCTCTTGGACGTCCTGACCTCTCGTCTGTGCCTCGAACACGTGTGATGATCCAAACGCATTTGGCGATCCGAAAATATTGAAAAAATGTGATGTGAACACATTGACTTGTGTTGTGTTCACCGTACCCACCCTACTTGTGTGGCATTGAACACACGCGAGCAGCTCTGGCATAGAAGAGAACCCTGTGGTGTTCTACCGCATCATACGAGGCTCCACGGCGCAGACCAACAAGCACGACACCTTCTACCTGCAGCAGCGACCTGACAACGGCGAAACATGGGCCGATATCAAAGTTAATCATCCGCTTGATTATGAGAGCATCAAGGAGTACAACCTCACCGTCCGTGTCGAGGTTCGTGCATGACGTTTCTTTGCTATGTAATTTCCTTATGATAATAGCCTTGCACTACACCGACTGTAAACTTGTACATCCTGATGTACGACTTCACTTGGTCACGTTATCAGAATCAACTTGGTGATGCTTAATTTGTATAGGGGTTATAGCTTGCTTGTCCTGTTAACTGCTAGTAATTATTTGCGGATTGTATGGCACAGAACAACGGGCCGCAACAACTGGCATCAGAAGCGACAATATACGTGGTGCTCGAGGACGTCAACGACGAGATCCCGCTGTTCACGGAGCGCGAGCAGGAGACGGTGCTTGAGGGCGAGCCTATAGGCACTAAAGTGACGCAGGTCAACGCCATCGATAAGGACGGCACTTACCCCAATAATGAGGTACTTAACCTACAATAATGTACTTATCCTACAGCAATGTACTTACACTACAATGATGTACTTACCCTACAGTAATGTAATTACCTTCAAAAATGTATTTATCCTACAACAATGTACTTAACGTACAATAATTTACATACGCTACGGCAAGGTACCAACCCGATAAAGAAAGGATTGTCCTAAAACATGTTACTATTCGTTTGATTGGCAGCGAAACGAGGTATTTACTCTACATTGAGGTACTTGTCATAACATGAACACTTGGACAATACTTTGAATTGATAACCTATTTTAGATCTGCAGAAAGATCTGAGACCTTTGTATCCAGAAACGTTATTCATACCGTCAATGTTGTTCATACCTAAATAACTGCTAACTAAGATCACCATCAGCAGTCACTGAGTTAATTTGCTCTTAAAAACTTCGATTTGGTCCATGAACGTAGAGATGATGGGTTTTGTCTATTGTTATTATTAGGCAGCTGTGTTCTAATTACAGTTTATCATGATAGAGACGCTGTAGACATGCAGCTGTTATAAATATGTGCTCATAATATGAAGCAGGTCGATATTATGCGCCTGACGCCTGCACGTGTTACAGGTGCTCTACCGCATCGTCGACAACCCCCGCAACGAAGGCAAGGACTACTTCGAGATCAGGTTAGTTCATCCCTTAATAAATCTATGCAGCGATCAGTTGGTTTGATAGCTTGAACTTGTTAACTATTAAGGGGTAGCTTAGAGTAGTAAGTGTCAGTATTAAATTTGCGACGAGTATTACTGGTCAGTTTCCTGTCGTGACATTATAAACAGCAAGTTCAATAAATGAAGAATCAATAAATAATTCCATAATTTGAAAGCATCTTGAGTTATTAACGGCACATGACCCCACAGGGAACGCACAGGAGAGATCTACACGCGCATGGAGTTTGACAGAGAAGAGAAGCAGGCGTACGCGCTGGAGGTGGAGGCTAGGGATGGCGCGGCTTCTGCCAGACCTAACGCTAACGGCCGCCCCAACACCGGTCAGTTCCTACCCTCGTGTGGCTGCCTCTCTTCCTATACATAACCCTCTAATGTATTCTATGCATTCACAGTGTCATGCTTCGAACATACAAACATACGCATTATTGAAAAAAATGTAATTATTTTTTTTAAATCGCGCATACGTGATGAATGGGTTGTGACAAAGTTCATTCGTATCGCAATCATTTCTAATTTGTTACGTTATAACAACAGTTCCTGTTCTTAATCGTGTACGTAATGTATGGACAGTGACGAAGTTCATCCGTATCGGGATCGCGGACAAGAACGACAACCCTCCCTACTTCGACAAGACGTTGTACGAGGCCGAGGTCGATGAGAACGAGGACATCCAGCACACAGTCCTCACCGTCACTGCCAAGGACCAAGACGAGTGTAAGTCATCCGCATCCTATCATCCTTCTGTGGCATATCATCCTATTTAATTATCCTGTTTAATCATCCTATTTGACCAGCATCGTCATTAGGGGACCTCTTTATTTGATCATCTGTCAGTGATGTGTCGTCAGCCATCCGCACTAACCTTTCTCGTGCCCACCTTCAGGCGACGTTTCTGAGTCATCTGTACTAAATCGTCCTAAATGCTTATCCTTCGTTGCTCTTTCTCATTTGATACTGTTTAATATTTCAACCGTGATGTTTTCGTGATAATTCTGTTTCCATGCACATTTTATCATCTTTTTCTGCTATAGATTATCTTTATTCTTTTAATGTAGTCACTATTTGATGAGGAAACGTTTACTTGTAGACGAAAAATTTTCTTCACTCCGATTTTCAGAGTGAATTGTAGTGTCCTCATACTATCACTAGAACATCATCACCGCAATGATAGCACAGCATTACACATCATCACCGCAATGATACACAACATTAAAGATGTGTTATGTGTTCAGCTTCCCGCATCCGCTACGAGATTACGAACGGCAACATCGGAGGAGCGTTCGCCGTGAAGAACATGACGGGCGCCATCTACGTGGCGGGCCCCCTCGACTACGAGACGCGCAAGCGGGTTAGTTATTATTATTATTATTTTTCTTATTATTCATATTGTTATTCTGCGAAGCGATTGTCGTGGCATCTGGTTTGATCGAACTTCGAGGGCACGTTACAGTATCAATAAAATATGAATAAGTTTGATAGTGAGAAAAAAAATTGAAGGAAGTCTACTTCTAATGCCTCCTGTTCGGTCAAATTGCAGTGCTGCTTAACAATATATCCGGGTTGAAGTGACCTAAACGGGGGACGTGTTCCTTTAGGTCCCAATAAGCGGTTGAGTCCTGAAACCGGTTCTTCCTTATAACCGGATAGTTCTTTCAACCGGTTAGTCTAATTACCTGATACGATTGATAAAGAAGTTTGATTTAAGACTAGGTAAAAATAAGCGGATTTTTTGATTTAACAAATGATCCGTTTCAGAACTTAGTTCAATACATGTCAAGAAGTACCGCTAATAATATTGCCTTGATGTCAACTTGAAGCCTTCAGTGCCAGACGCTCATAACAAAGCACTTATCCTCCGAGGCCGATCACCAGAGCCCTGATTTTTGTGTTATTAAAATAGTTATTGTGGCTGACTATAGTTATTGTCAGAACTCGTCTAGAGTCATGTTGTTATCGTGGTAATCTTAACTATTGAAGCGAAGACAGCAGGAAATATTCAAACAAAACTACTACAAATATATATTTGCTCAACCAAATGGGAACATATAGATAGCTCATATATATTGTGTATGTATGTATGTCCTTAAACGAACGAAACTGAGTTACTGAGTCGGTATTTCTTCAATTTTTGCTGCCGAAATATGTTTTTGTCCGTTTCATAAATAATAATGTTGAAGCACATTCTTTGGTATTTAATTGAATTATGCTATATTTCATTGCATTGTATTTGCTATGAGCTTCGTATAACTGGCGACAGAAGTTAGCAAGTGATGCATATCATAGGATGTGTCACTTTATTATCCTCGGAAGGATGTCCTCATAGTGCTATTTTTGCCCCCTACACCAGCTGTCGCGGGTATCATTGCTACAGACATTCGTGCAGCTTCATTACATTTCCCTACTATTGCCTCTTCTCAGTCTAATGTTCCACTACAACATACGAATATTAACGTGTCTAACCCTGGCTAAGAAAATACATTGATGTAGTATGGTTTGATATAGCACGGTGAATAATAACTGTTTTTTCCTGGTTTCCGCGTGAGCCCGCCGAGATCTATCATCGGGCCTATGGGTTTCCGTTCTTAATGGCCCGTACCTCTATGGCGGGACCCTTACGCTTGACTTCCCCCAATGATGTCTTTCCACTTACCCGCTGTTGCAACTATCGAACTTTTTAACTGAATTTTTCAATTGGATTCTTCAACTGAACTCCTCGTTTGGATCTATCGTCTTGAGTGCTTCCTGCTTAAGCGGCCACGTGGCTATCTTCTTCCGTCCGGGGTCTCTGCTTGCTTTTCCTTGGGGACCGCGGTGTTTTAATGACCGTGCCGAGGGTTTAATCTTCAGAGTATGAGGTGTATTGTGCGTGTGTTAGATGTGTATAAATGCGCGTCTAGAGGACAGGAGAGTGCGTATTTCTGAGCGTTTATTGGGCCTACTGATGCGTGTGTTGAGGTGCATTATTGCATGTGTATAGAGTGTTGCGTGTGCAGAGAGAGAGAGAGAGAGAGAGAGTGTGTGTGTGTAAGGAGTGTTGTGAAGTGCGTTAGTGCACGAGCAGAGAGCAGCTTGTGTGTTCTGATAAATTCTCCTTACTGGCGGTTGGGCAAATATCTCAGTTTGGTAGTTGGGTGAAGGGTGTTGGCAGTGTAAGCTGCTATTCTCAGTTACGTACAGGTTTCTAGTTCAAGCTACCGTTAATAGTGCAAGCGACTGTTATCAGTTGAGGCCACTGTTATCAGTTGAGGCCACTGTTATCAGTTGAGGCCACTGTTATCAGTTGAGGCCACTGTTATCAGTCGAGGCCACTGTTATCAGTTGAAGCTACTGTTATCAGTTGAGGCCACTGTTATCAGTTGAGGCCACTGTTATCAGTTGAGGTTACTGTTATCAGTTGAGGCCACTCCAGTGTGTCATGCCACGTGTCCTCAGTACGAGCTGCGGCTGGTGGCGTCAGATAACCGCAATGAGAACCACACGACGGTTGTGATACACGTCAAGGACGTGAACGATAACCCGCCCATGTTCGACCGCCCTCTCTACGAGACGCAGATCACCGAGGAGGACGACAGGGGACTTCCTAAGAATATCCTCACGGTCATTCTTCTTCTCCATGCTTCTCTTATTCTCCTCTGTCTTGTTCTTATTGTACTTCTCTTGCCTGCTAAACGTGTGATGTCCGCGAAAATTTTCACTTTAGTTGTTTTTTTCAGCTTCTTTGATTTTCTTGCACATTTGTTAGACGTTATTTTGTTCTTCTCGTGATTGATGTGCTGCGCTTCACTTACCCGCTGATCGTGTGTCGTCTGGAACTTTTTGTCCCACTAATTACCTACGCATGTCTCACCCTAATGCCCCTAACTACACATGTTCTGATGAATGTTTCATCGATGTTGCGCACAGCGCTGCCGGCACGCATGCACTTCAAGCATTCATCGTTCCTTTTCACCCTAATTTATCACACTGCTGTGAGCCACAAGTTGAGATTCACCCCCATTTGGTTTCCAGATGCATCGGCAGTTATTTTATCCCCATTGTCTTGTGAAGTCTTGGCGAAGCCATGACTGGTACCTGCTTATCCCTCGTACACTTAATCCTTGACTCCTCTGCTCGTAGTCCTACGTGCACGTTTGTGTCCGTGTGCATACCCTAACTGCCGCCTCTTTTGGGGGCAGTATGAGCTGGAGATGGTCGCCACCGACAGCGTCAATGAAGCTTCTACAAAAGTTGTCATCAAAATCAACGACGTCAACGATCGCCCGCCAGTTTTTGAACAGCCCATTTACGAGGCTGAGTTGCAGGAGGAGTTCAGGGACCTGCCAGTGCAGCTGCTGCAGGTAGGGCCTGTCGGTGCAGCTGTTGCAGGTAGGACCTGCCAGTGCAGCTGCTGCAGGTAGGTGCAGGTAGGACCTGTCGGTGCAGCTGTTGCAGGTAGGACCTGTCGGTGCAGCTGCTGCAGGTAGGGCCTGTCGGTGCAGCTGTTGCAGGTAGGGCCTGTCGGTGCAGCTGCTGCAGGTAGGGCCTGTCGGTGCAGCTGTTGCAGGTAGGGCATGTCGGTGCAGCTGCTGCAGGTAGGACCTGCCAGTGCAGCTGCTGCAGGTAGGACCTGTCGGTGCAGCTGCTGCAGGTAGGACGAGTCAGTGCAGGTAGTTCTGTGCTCGAATATCAAGCTGCTAACGACACTTACTTTTGTGAGAGCGCTAAGATGCTGCAGATGAAAAATATCAGGTGAGTCCCTTTTTGTTCTCGCGTGCACAGAGTAAACAAACGAGCGTGATAGCGGCTGTCAGAAGTTATTGTTGGAACCTGCAGCGCAGAGTTGGAGGATAATCGCCAAGCATTTCTCACCTCGCTGGCTGCAGCAAGTGTCGCCTGGCTTGCTACTGCCCATAGTACTACACTGAACTTTCTTGCAACCGTTAGCTGTGGTACGTTGCAGAAATTTATTTACAAATGTTTGTATGTTCTTGAGATACAAGTAAATAATTAACGAAATGAAACGCATTAGCTGGTTCGAGATAAAAGTGACTGTAGGCATGATCAACCAGCTGTTGTGTTATCACCTGCCCATGTAGGTCTACCCTCGACTTGCATACAATTAACAATTGACTTGAATGCAAGTTTTGTTGAAAACCAGCCAATAACATTTCTAACAACCTTTAAAAAACGCCAGCCCTAATACTACTTCCTTTTACTACAGTAAAAGGTTGTAGTATAGGAGCTGGCCTACTATCCTTTGACTACAGTCGCAACTTACCGATCACAAATTATCCTGAATGCAAAGCAATCTAAACACCTGTCCCAAAAGTATTATTCTCCTAAATATCCATAATTTGTCGAATGCCCGTATCATTTATATATGTATATTTTTGCCATTAATTGCACCTTTCTTCAATTAAATTCTGATTTTGCTGTAAATTTTTGTCTTCTCTAATTAGTCTCAGTTACCGTAGTTAGTTCACGTAGGTTTAGTGTGTGTGGTAAGTAATTGCATGCGACGTTGTGTGATCACTAAACTTATATCATTCTGTTCACTTCAATGTGCAACATTAGTTTTCTTATTTATACATTATCATCGTGATGCGGTCAAATTCTTTAAAATCGACTGTAAAACATCACTATAGGTGCAATAAACTTTATTTCATGAATCTGATTGACTACTCTATGAACTACTTGAGTACTAAATCCTTTGAAAACGCTGTCATATATATTGTGATTAACGACTTCTGCTGCAGTATGAGAAATAAAACTGGCATGTGGCGCACAGGTGACGGCAGCGGACGGCGACAGAGATCGTCACCAGGATATTGTATATTTCCTCACCGGCCAGGGCATCGACAACGACAACCCAGACAACTCCAAGTTTGAGGTCAACCGCACCTCAGGTGCCATCTACGTGCGCAAGGTGGGTGCAATATACCGCACATGGTCATGTTAGATACCATCTACATGCGCAAGGTGGGTGCATTATACCGTACAAGGTCATGTTAGATGCCATCTACGAAATCTAAGTAGGTGCTTGTGTTGTCGTGTAGCCAGGCTCCAGCTACACGGCCTACTGACGTTTGGCCTACTCGTGATGTCCGCCCAGGAAGTCTCCGACATCGCAGGCCAGATTACCACCACTTCTTAGACACTCAGAGATCTGGGGCTTGTGTTGAAGTGCGAAAACTTGGATATTATGTTAATTAGTTGTTGTCATTGAAATTTTTATGCTAAGTTCTTCTTCCCGAAATATAAAGGGCTTTTATCTACAACGATTCCGAAGGTTTTTGATGTATTATGCATTTTTACAAATTTGTCTGGATAAACCTACCAAAAACATCTAGGGAATTGCGTTGGAGGGTATGGGAGTGTTAAATAACGGCATTCGAACGAGTTATGATGTGCAATTTGGTGACGTTGACGTAACTGATGTTGCGACCGTTACTTCCTCAGCCGCTGGACCGGGACCACCCCAAGGGCCGCCCTACGTGGCGGTTCACCGTCTTCGCCCAGGACGAGGGCGGCACGGGGCTCGTGGGCTACGCGGACGTGCAAGTCAACCTCAAAGACATCAACGACAACGCGCCCGTCTTCCCTCAGGTCGGCCTCGCGCATTCACGCCATCATTTAAGTTTTGACCTACGATTTTCACGTCAGGTTTCGGTTCAAAGTTTTGCTTAGATTATTCCGTTTAGTTCATTAGTTAGTGGACGGCATAAAAACTAATGACATTAATTTAAAACTTGTATTGATGATATTAAACTATTAAAATTTATAAGCACATTATTAATTTTACTACGGGTTACGTTACAGATGATTTACTACGGGAACGTAACCGAAAACGGCACCCGCAGCATGGTCGTGATGACCATGACTGCTGAGGACTACGACGACCCCAAGGAAGGCACCAACGCTAAGCTCACCTACAGCATCGAGAAAAACGTCATCGACGAGAAAACTGCCACTCCCATCTTTGAAATCGAGCCCGAGACCGGCGTGATCAAGACGGCCGTGTGCTGCCTCGACAGGGAGAAGACCCCCGACTACTCCATACAAGTGGTGGCTGTTGATGGGGGTGGCCTTAAAGGTCTGTGCTACGTGATCTTCAGACGCATGATTTTTTTTTCAATTAGCATTCAACCATTGTCAGACAACAAATTAAGTAACGTTACAATCGTATATTTTGAAGCCACACTACCTATGCAGTCGAATAGGGTTATTATGTGCTATCTCTTCGGAGTACTGACACTAACATCATAAGCACTGGCCGCAGGGAGTGCAAATTTATGCAAGGGGTTTAGGCTGGATCATGTATTAGTCCATTGAAATGATCTGGAAATTTAACTCACCGCATTTAATCCCTTTTATTTTTGTCGTTTAAAATCAGCCGATACGTTAAGAAATTTAACTAATTTTATTTTAAATGCTGCTGTTTCAGGATACTGTATTCTATAATTGCTTTGTTCTCAGGTACTGGCACTGCAAGCATCCGTGTGCGTGACATAAACGACATGCCCCCGAAGTTCACGAAAGAAGAATGGGTGACAGAAGTGGACGAGACGGACGGGACGGTGTTGCCTGACCAAGCCATTCTTACAGTGACCGTACAAGACGACGATGAGACCAACAAGTTCCATTACAAAGTGATAGAACCTTCAGGGTTCGGCGCGGACAAGTTCACTATGGTGCGCAACAATGATGGAACAGGTTCGCTCAAGATAGTCCAGCCTTTGGACTATGAAGACCCTATGCAGAGGAGTGGCTTTAGGTTCAAAATTCAAGTAAATGACAAAGGAGAGGATAACGATGCTGAGAAATATCACGTGGCATATTCCTGGGTGAAAGTAGAGCTGCGGGATATTAATGATAACAAACCGCAGTTTGTTAAAGCAAACATTGAAGTGCCGGTGTACGAGAGCGCTGAAGTTGGTAAGAGTTTGGAGACGTTCAAAGCGACCGACCCCGATCAGGGAGGCCAGAGCAAAGTGTCCTACGCCATCGATCGTTCGTCGGACCGAAGACGCCAGTTTGCCATCGACAGTACCGGCACCGTCAAAATTCAAAGGACCCTTGACAGGGAGGAGAATCCTCGACACTCTGTTAAAATCTTAGCCATAGACGACGGCACCCCTGATAAGACTGCTACTGCGACGCTCACGGTTATCGTGCAGGACATTAATGACAACGCGCCAAGGTTCCTAAAGGATTATCGTCCTGTGCTGCCCGAAAACCAAACGCCCAAAAAAATTGTCGAAGTTTTAGCAACCGATGATGATGATCGATCTAAGGGCAATGGACCTCCGTTCCATTTCCGGATGGATTCAACGGCATCTGATGAGATCAGAGCCTCGTTCAAGGTGGAGCACATTCCAAAAGGTGCTAATGGTGATGGCATGGCTATTATATCCTCCTTACGAACGTTTGATCGAGAGTTGCGTAAAGAATATCACGTGCCAATTGTCATAAAGGACGCTGGCACGCCCCAAATGACGGGCACTTCTACTCTTACCATCATCATAGGCGATGAGAATGACAACAAAATGCAGCCCGGGTCCAAGGACATCTTTGTTTACAACTACAGAGGTAAGGCCAACGCAAGCTCTGAGACTCCTATTGGAAGAGTTTACGTCTTTGACTTGGATGACTGGGACTTGCCTGATAAGAAGTTCACAATTGCTGGACCTAAGAACCCTAATTTTACTCTGAATGAAGATGACGGCATGATTAGCGTGAAGCGCGGCACTCCAGAAGGAAAATACTTCTTATCTTTTTACGTTTACGACCGGAAACACACGCAGACTGACATCTTGGCTAACGTGACAGTGCGTGTCAAAGACATCCCTGAAATTGCCGTCATCAATTCTGGTTCTATTCGGATAGCCAACATGACCGACGAAGACTTCATCCGTATCTGGGATTACCGCAACCAGCGTATTGTCAAGAGCAAGTATGAAATGTTCAGGGAGAAGATCGCTCAGCTCGTTAACGTTCCTCTCACTAACGTCGACGTCTTCAGCGTCCAACTCTACAAAACGCGTCCGCCAGTCACTGACGTGCGTTTCTCAGCTCATGGCTCACCATATTATCAGCCTGTTAAACTGAATGGCTTGGTGCTCCAGCACAGAGCTGAAATAGAGTCAGAACTTGGCATCAACATCACCATGGTTGGCATTGATGAATGTCTCTATGAGAACGTGGCGTGTGAAGGCTCTTGTACGAACGAACTAGTAATTTCTTCGTACCCATATTTGGTGAACGCAAATAGGACATCTCTGGTGGGTGTGCGCACGCAAACGCTATCCAAGTGTACTTGTGGTGCTCGTAACTTCTCAGCTGAGGAAAGCTGTCGCCCGAACCCATGCCTTAACGGCGGCCGCTGCATGACCAGCAAGTCTGGAGTGCGGTGTCGATGCCGTGAAGGATATGATGGACCGAGATGCCAGATGACCACCAGGTCGTTCAGAGGAACCGGTTATGCTTGGTTCCCTGCTCTCGCCATGTGTGATAACTCGCACATCAGTCTTGAGTTCCTGACGCGGCGACCTGACGGACTGTTACTTTACAACGGGCCCATAACTCCTCCCGAGGCTGACGGCATCAAAGTGTCCGATTTCATCGCGATCGAGCTTGAAGGTGGACGGCCGAGGCTGCTCATAGACTTCGGCTCAGGGACGTTGGAGCTCAAAGTCAATACCAAGAGTAACCTTAACGATGGAAACTGGCATCAGATTGACGTTTTCTGGGACACCGAGGTGAGATTTGATGTTGACCTAGTGGACCACTACATGTCTGACCATTACTTCATTTCAATCAATCATTTATATTACTTCATTTGGTAAATCTTGTTCTTGTGAAGCCTTTTCATGGCGGAATTTAGTTTCGTGCCATGTTTCCACGATTTTTTAAATTTCCATATCTAATTTAGTCACTTTTTACTCAATTTTACTTAGCATTATTTCTTGAATGTTCGTCCTAATTGATCCTCTCAGTCGCTACATATGTTATGTTCAAATTTAAACATTTTATTCACTGCCTATTATGTTCATCTTTGTCTTCAGAATGTTCGAATTGACGTGGACCACTGCCTGGGAGCTGAAGTAACGGAGCCTGAGGATGGCAGCGATCCAATCTTCGACTCTTCCGGCTGCCAGGCAACGGGCGCAGTGCCTCGCTTCAACGAGTACCTCAACGTTAACGCTCCCCTGCAGCTGGGTGGCCTGGCTCACGAACAGCCTGACTCAGCTGCTTATGGCTGGTCCCATGTCCCTCACGGTAGACCTTTTATGGGGTGCATCAGGAACCTGATGGTCAACAGTGAGCTTTATGACCTGACAAGACCCGGTATGGCTAGAGGCACTCAGATGGGCTGCCCACAGCTAGAAGAAGCGTGCCGAGACAACACCATCATCGCAAACTGTGGCCCTAACGGCATCTGCGCGGGATCCATAAGTCACCCCGTGTGCAAATGCAAGCCTGGCTGGACCGGACCTTCTTGTGAGGAACAAACCAACTCCTCCTACTTTGAGACTCAGTCTTACGTCAAGTATGCTCTATCTTTCAAACCGAACGCTTTCAGTACTGAAATTCAGCTTAGGTTCCGCACATGGCAAGAGTATGGCGAGCTGTTCCGTATCTCAGATCAGCACAACCGCGAGTACGGCATCCTAGAAATAAAGGACGGTAACCTGCGGTTCCGTTACAACCTCAACAGCCTGCGCACTGAAGAACACGATCTCTGGCTCTCTGCCGTTACGGTGAATGATGGCCAGTGGCACTCAGTTGTGGTCGAGCGCCATGGCTCTACTGCCATCCTCATGCTGGACGGCGGGGAAGGACGGCGGTACAACGAGACGGTCGCTTTCAGCGGACACATGCTAATGGATGTGGACAAGCAGGAGGGTGTTTATGCTGGTGGAAAGGCCGAGTACACGGGCATCAGGACCTTTGAGGTCTACAACGACTTCAAGCTCGGTCAGTGTTGCTAGTGTGCTGTTCTCTTATTAGGGATAATGCCTTGACTGGTTTGTTTGCCCCCGAACATAACTAAATACTTTAATCGAGATGCATCAATCGCTGAGCTTGATCAAGTGCAGTTTTAAATGTATGCCACTAGTTAGTTCTCTGTACAGAATGGCCTGGAGTGTATTTGTTCTGCATAGAGTGCTGGTTTCTACCGGACTGGCAGAGTAATTTAAGTTTAAGGATGGTTGGATGATTGTGGTGTTTACAGTAATCGTGACTCCATTTTCTTATACTTCTTTCCAGTGCATGTTTGATCAATTGAGTAGATATCTCTGGGCCTATGTTGGTTGCTCTTTTTAGCGTATTTATTCATTTATGGAAAAAAATGCCCTATTGTACTCATGTCCGTCCGTCTGTCTGTCCGTTCGTCCGTCCGTGATTTCACGTTTTCGTCGACGAGAAATTGCGCTCTCTGTCACTCGCTGCAGTGAGTACTGAGTTATATTTTTATAATTATTTGTAGTTATGAATAAATTTGTTGTGCACATTTTAACCATGTTCTCTGGCCCCAGGTTGTCTGAATGACATCCGGCTGGAAGGCAAGCACTTGCCGTTACCACCTGGGCTCAACGGTACTCAGTGGGGCCAGGCGACGATGTTCCGGCACTTGAAGCGCAACTGCGAGTCTAAAGACCAGTGCAACAACGTGACTTGCCTAGCGCCCTTCACCTGCAAGGACCTCTGGATGCGGCATGAGTGCGGGTAAGACGCATGTGAGGCTATCTTGATCAATGTGTTAAAACCTTCTGCCTACTTTACTCGTCTCTAGTCATTCAATGTTCTCAGCTACAGCCTACAGATTCATCGGAACGTTCATATCATCTACATTTACACGTTCGATTTCCGAATATATCATGATTTACCTATCATATCATCTTTAAGAATTTTTCGAATAAGAAAAAAAATAGCCTCTTGACTATTCTGGTATTGTTCCAAAATAAGCTGTCGCAGACGAGACCGGCTTTACTATCATCATATCACTGAAGATGAAAAATGTAGAAAAATGAAGTTTTATTTGTAACCGTGTGGCTCTAGGCTCCTGTTGATTCATTATCTAACATGTCGGCATTGTCGGGTACACGTTATCTGAATGATACTAGTAATTTTTTACTATCATGTTTGTAGTCTCAGCCTTGTTGAACTCGTAGTCTTAGACTTTAAACAAGTATATTTCTTGTTTTACTCTAACCTTCCTTCAGCTTTTAAGCAGTTATAAGAATCATCGCAAATTCTTGATGAACGGTGCTGAATTTATTGAAAATTTACCTTTTTAATGATTTAATGCTTAGGAATTCTCTCGCTTTGCATGCTCTGCAGTTATTATATGTCGGATTACAAAATTTATATACTCATTCAAATAAACTATTGATGTCAATTCATTTGGTAGGACTATAATTTTGATCCAGCTAATGCCTTATTTCTCTTTTTTTCCTGCTGCTTCCCTATTGTGGATATGGGTAATGTATTTGTCCATCTTTTCTCTTGCAATATTGTTGTCACTCAAACCTATTTACGTGCCTTCCTTTATTGCCTTGACGCTTCCTATTGTAATATTTTCTTCAATGGTGACGATGCAACTTAACTGATCGCTCGCACAATTGACTGACCGTCTTTTGTGACCGGATGACATGAACTGCGCATCCTCGTTATCCTCCATCCTCTGGCATTACTGTTATCACCACAAGATGTCAGGAAGGCACCGTGCTGTCGCTAGACCGGGAGTTGTGTGTGGACCAGAACGAGTGTCTGAACAATCCATGCCAGAACGGCGGCGTTTGCCTTAACGAGGAGCCCTTGTACCGCTGTAACTGCCCCAAGGGCTTCTCGGGCAACAATTGCGAGTACCTGCAGGAAGGCATGACGGTCAAGCTGAGCATGGGCGCCCTCGCCGCCATCCTCGTTTGTCTTCTCACTATACTCGGTTTGTTTGTGGAACCTGCCGGTAACTTGCCTTTAAATGGAACATCATGTAGAACCCCTAGAAGTTGAAATGCTCTGTTGGAGATCGGTGGAACTTCGTTCCTTGCGAGCACTTAAGGAAAAACAATGCGGATTTTAGACGACCAGTCGTCGTCAGCCGGCTTTGATAGCATGAAAGTTGCTGATGAGGTAACGCAAAGAGAGGTTTGGGCAATTTCATGTGGCTGCGCTACACGCATGAGGAGACATTGATACGACTTCACTAACGACTGAACCATCCAGATGCGACCTTGACGCCTGCGTGACTTGTTTTCTGACTTTATTTTATTTATATTTCATGCTTCTTGCTCTTCTCTACCACTTCCCAGTTTCCTTTTCCTACCATTATTTTGTTGCTAAATTTATCCTTTTTTTTTTTTTGTTCCTAGTTTAATTTTAGTGTTCGGTGCCAGCTGCTTATTTGTTGGTAGGTTTAATTATCCAGTTATTTTTGTGAATTTTGTTGCTGTTTTTTCGCTGATTTTTTGACTAAACAATTTTCACTGAACGCCGGATCGTAGCTGTGCGGACGGTTCCGTATTCTCTAACAACGACTGCGTCAACATCAACGAATGCGAGCTGTGGCAGCCGTGCCACAACGGTGGCCTCTGTATTGACAGAGAGCCCGACGAAGGCGGCTACTTCTGCCAATGTCCTGACAAATACGACGGACTCGACTGCAACTTCCTCCTGCAGACAACTAAGCTCAGAACCTCCACTGATTTTATTGTTGCTCTCATCATCTGCATCCTCGTCTTGCTCGGTAAGAAATATCGTTGTGGGTTCAGGAACTTGACCTCCTCATCGTCTACCTTTAACTCCCTAGTAGGTCTCGAGTAACGGTGGCGTACGTTAGACAAACCTAAGTGTAAAGCTCGTAGGGGATGTATGGATGGATATCATCACTAGTCAATGACAAATGAGACGCTACTCAGCAGATAATGCTCTTAACTCACCACTCGGCAATGGGAAGCGGATATAATGGCCGGAACTACGATTCGTAGGGTTTGATTAGCACATAATATCTACGGAGCTGTTTCGATCTCGATAGTGAGTTAGGTATCAGTATAGTTTATAAAACAGATCACTTATATTGGAGGCCGACGACATAAGTGCTGGGATGACTTAGGTGGTATTGACGTTACTCCAAACCTTATTTTGAAATTCAGAAGAGATTTTTAGAGCTCGTGCTGTTGAAAATGCTTAAAAAATGTGCTTGTTCACTTTATTTTCTGTCATTGCAGAAGAGATTTTTACAGGTCTTGCTTTTGCTAGATAACTTTTTTCAACTGGTTACTCTTTCAAAGTAAACTATTTTGAATGATTACTATCGGTTTCGTCGAACCCGTTTGATTTTCGCTAATGTTTTGATCCAGTAATGTGGTCATAAACTTGCCTTGGCCACTTCATGTCCGATGATATGATGTGTCTGACGAAGATGCTGATACATGTGCAGTGTTGGTGCTGGTGTTCGTGGTGTATAACCGCCAGAAGGAGCGCCACTTCCCCAAAGCTGACCCATACGATGACGTGCGGGAGAACATCATCAACTACGACGATGAAGGTGGTGGCGAGGATGACATGACCGCCTTCGATATCACTCCCCTGCAAATCCCCATCGCTCCTGCCATTGGCAACGGGGGTCCTTTGCTCGGCAAGATACCATGTCAGTTATTCGTAGCTATTCAATCTTCTGGAATGTATATTAAACTAATTATATCCTTGGAAGATCTTTAAAGTAAATGTTTTAAAATTTACTCCGTGGGTTATTGAAAACAAATTGCTCTCGATGTGATGATGAGAACATGAATTGCCGAGCAAAATGCATATCGCAAATTCATTTCATCTTATTGTCGTCTATGTCATGTGATACTGTTCAACGCGCTTGTAATTTTGTGCGCTCTAGAGTTGTCTTCGCATAATCTTTATTTGTATATTATGATAGGTGACCAATTAATCTTGTTGCAGACGGCACAGGAGCTCAGCCTGACGTGGGCGTGTTCATCAGTGAGCACAAGGGCAAGGCAGATAGCGACCCAAATGCCCCGCCATTTGACGACCTCCGCAACTATGCTTATGAGGGCGCTGGCAGCACCGCTGGGTCTTTGTCTTCCTTGGCCTCTGGTGAATACCTTCTTTTTTTTACTACAATGATTTATTACTACAGTTATTCTCAACTGAAATATTCACTTTCCTGAAAAATAATTTTTTTGGAAATATCATGAATGTGCATTAAACGTGCAGGCACTGACGACAACGAGCAGGACTTCGACTACCTGAACAACTGGGGGCCTCGGTTCAGTAAGCTTGCCGACATGTACGGTCATGGCGAGAGCGACGAGGACGATGATCAATGAGCTCAGTTGTCGTGCTAATACTGCAATTCATCTGCCGTAGCTTGCGACCGGCGTAGTTTGCTACTGTTATTAACTATTTTGCTCTGCAAAACTAGGCGTTGTAGTTCATGACCGTCAGTAACTACGGCGCAGTTGCGACTGCAGCTCAACACTGTAAAGTTTGCTCTTGCCTTCCTATTTGCCCGCTCGTTCACCGCTTCTTTGTACTTCACTCCTTTGATTAAGTTTCCATTTATCATTTTATCATTCTTTCATTCTAGACTTTGTTAAACCGAAACGGGTGCGTAAAAAAGATCGTTGACGGAAGTAATTTTTAATATATGTCCTCTTTCTATTCACCCAATATGAAAGAAGTTTCATGAAGTCGAAGTACATATAGAAGTAATTGCGTTCTGTGGCAACAAAGAAGGCGAGTTCAAATGAGCAGCTTATGAGCCCCAATTTATTGGCATTAGCGTTACTTTCTGTCGCAATAATGAAAGAAATCGTCACAATAAGGAACTCGCTAGCTTAGGATTGTAATTCTGCGTTATAGGATGCTACTTAATAATGTTTCTTTAGGTAATTTGCAAGTGCCGTGATGTTGCTGTCTTTGTTGTAAATACCGTTTCATGTGCGACCAGTGTTGTGAGTGCAAGATCTGATGATGCTTTTGCAAACATTCTGCCACTATGACCTCTTTACATTCCGATCACTAAACTTCTCAGGAGGCCAATTCGGTCTTGCCTGAGTGTACGCTCTTGAGTCCAATTCTGAGCAGTTAGTTTCAAGTGGTTGCTTTTCATTTTTATTGGCAGCTCCAAGTTGCAGCTGGTGCTTTAGCACCGAGGTGTGTTGTGCTTCATTGTCGTTTGACTACGAGTTACCTGTGACGTCACAGCTACAATAGTATTGTGTGACGTACAAATAACTCGGTCTAGTGCAATGCTTTCGAAGATCTCATTCGTGACAACCGCGACGGCGGTGCACACTCGTATGCGTCGCGGTGGAGACTTTTGCATCGTCTGTATTCGGCTCTCTACCTCATAAATCGCGTCTTCCCTTTCACTTATTAGCAGTTACTTTCGCCATTGGCTCAAACTTCAAATAGGTATCTGCTCACACCTGAGTTACTCATTGTACGTACTCATAACCTTATTCTTTGCGTGAACAGATTGGGTGACTCGTTTTCGAGGCTAACTTCTTTCTCGCTTTCAAACTCGTATATGTTAATTCAATATACAATGGATTTATAAACATGGTGAAAATGTAAATCATTCGAATCCGAATCTATTAAAAAAGGACGCGTCTGCCTGAGCTCTGAGTTATGTTTTATAGCTTTCCAGGCTTCATTGCAGCAACTTGGAATCCTCTTGAATTTCTAACGTATTAATTCCTAATTATTGCCAACATTTCAATGCCTCGAGTATGGCGAATTTCCGCCATCCATATGACATTTGATCATATGTAGTGTGACTTTTTTTATGTTTTCAGAAGATGGTCAATGAGATACTCGAAATTTATGTTCAAAAAGATCCTCTCAATTTCGTTCAATTGTAAAACCACTAACGGGACCGGTACCTAAGATTTTCTTCACCAACTCAATTTATCGTATTAATTTTGACTTGTATGCATGATACGTCTGCGCCGATACTTGATTATCATGCACAAATAATGGAAAATCTATTAATTACGTCATCCATACATTTGTGGGGAGAGCTATATCGCCGGAACTTGTAATAAATCAGGATATATTTGTGACTCGTACTTTATCGACCAGAATTTATTTTGCTAGTTAAAGTTCGTTTTGAAGGCAGGCTGGCTCACTCACCTGCGTCATGTGCAAGCAATACGCGAAGTTCATGGTGAGCTTCAAACCATTGTTCCCTAACCGCCATACTGGTCTGTTGATTGTACTCAGAAAAGTGTTCATTTATTGCTGTGAAAGTTTATGATGACCTAAGAATATATCACCCATTGTTTGACATGAGCAACGAAAGTCTATTGATGTGCGCAGGACTGTATGATGATAGCACCTAGCCCAGCTCATTGTAGTGCAAGTTTGTCTCATGATAGCTGAACGCTGAAGTTAAATATTGTGGTAACGTACGCACTACTTCCTAGGATGAATACTTATCATAATATTCGTTGCTTGTAAGATGACGGTGCACTTTTGATCCCTGCACTTGTCCCGAGTGTTGCACCTAAGATCCTGGCTATTTTGTACATCTGTAGATAACCCAAAATCCTCGAATGGACGTAAATCTTAGTGATGATTAAACCTAATTCTAGTGCAAATTTTTCCTGAAGTCTTATTCAATGCTGACTTTGATTATTTTAGGTAGGGTAATTAACGGAGGAGAACGCGACTCGTGTAGGTAGTGAGAGGCGCAATTTCTGTACTTGCTCATCTGGATAAGGTTTTGTCGTCTCTGTTTTTCTATGTGTAGAATAGTCAAAAGTGATGTCAGTGTCACGGGGTTTGCACAAAAATTTATCTGCTTATTTATAAAGGTAATGTTCATTTCTCGAGTGCAATCCTAAACTTGCTACGTCACAGCTCATTCCTCTCGTGAGCGCCTTAAGAAACCATTTTTTGCTGTGCAACTAAATTTAATATTTATATTTTGGAAAGCAAAATTTAGGCGCTGATGATTCGTTGGAAAATAAGTAATGCCTGTACCTTATTATAAAATATTTTTCATCACTCCGGCGTGTCAAAGGAAAAAAAAAAAGAGAGTAGTTGTTGTGTCGCTTGCATGTTATGCTGCGACTCTAACTCGCTCGACAATCAATTGAATTTTTTCAAATAACTGGATGAATTTCAACAAAATCTGAATAGATTCTATGACCATAATTTCATGAAACCGGCCGTTCATTGCCTTGGAAATTGTTTGTGAGTAATTTTGTTCCAATGTGCATAACCTTGCAGTACTTCGAATGCATTTTTGTTTACGAGAATGAGCTGCTCATTTGACCACAGCAAATCTGATTATTCTTGTAGGATATCAATTTTTTTACACTTGTATAGTTTGATACTCGATTATTATGTGTATATATATGTTGGAGTTATTTTCTAGCAAAAGACATCTTTGAAGCAACAGCTTGTCACTCACTTACCTCTAAGTTACTGTTTTTTTACTTTACATTTCACTGTAGATCTCCTAAAGGACGAAAATAACTTTCTGAGCACAAGTTGTTGTGGTAGGCCGGTAGCTGGTGTCTTGATGCAGTGTTTTTGAGGTGTTTTTTCTGCTCCTAGTTTCTCTTCTGCTGAGTTATTTACGTTCTTCTCAGTGGATGTTGCCCATTCCAACTGTCGAAGTGGTGTAAGTGCAGTATGCTTCCCGCGTCTTATTGATACGTTGTTCTAATTTCTGGTCAATTTACTTGAGTTGGGTAATATTTTACCGACATGTATCTTTACTTATTTTAACCAGTAAATATTTTTCAATGTGACTAAAATGACTTGCATTTCAGCTGATGGTGAAAAATTGCTTTAGTTTTAGTCCGATACTATAAACTGCCATTCCTTATTTGCTTTAAATAATTCTGAGTTGAAATGACTGCGTGACGCCGCTGAGTAGATGAAAGTGTAATGCGAGTGAGTGTAGTCGTGTCTTTAGATTTCTTCTCTCAGTAGACCAGAATGAGTCTGTACATAGGCGGTGTGCGAGTGCGCCCGAGTTAAGGATAATAAGTTCAGGTTGATATTTTGTATTTACCTATTTAATCGGTATGCTGACTTCGATGATAAAGCAATTTGTACATTAAATGATGTGTTGCTAGCTTCCATTTGCTCCCGCATACTCGTTATTCTGACCAAGAGTGAGCAGTAAAATATGTCTTAGTTGCTGATTGGTGGGGTGTCGGCGAGTTGCTTCATTTGTTGATGCTTTCAACAGGCCTCTGCTTTCGCCTTTCGTTCTACTTGCTTACAAATGTTCGATTAAGATTTACTCGTCTTCCTCATACGTTCCCACAATTTTTCAAAATAACCTTTTCTTCCTTGTAAATTCCACAACTTGAATTTATTCAAGCTTGAATCTTTTTTCACAGGTGCATCCGTATTTTATTTTAAGTATTTTAGTTGTATTTATTTTTTTTATGATGCTGTGATCATCGCGTGTCCGCCTCGTCATTGGATTTAGAATAAACCTTTGTGTACAATAGCTCCTCGTTTCATTCATTCATTAGGTCATATTAAGCACCGGTAACAACTGGTAAGCAAACTATCCAGAAAAATTTATTAAATTGCCGTCTTGTCTAATTAAGCCCAGCAATAACAAAGAATGGGATTTTGAAGGTCCAAAGTCAATCCGCTTGAAGATGTATAATTTTTGGGGTAGTCATTTCTCAATATCTACCTGTTTTTACGAATCAATATTTTCCTTTTGCTTGTGCATTGAAAACTCGCTTATTGAACGGTTTAATTACATGTTTTTTGGGGTGTAGATTAAGAATCTGAAATCCGTTTTTGGCGGTCGGCATCGGAAGTTTTTAATGGAACCTGTTCCTAACTGGACCTAACCTGCGAGGTTTTCGTTGATTAGCTAGATTTTTTGTCGATTTGGAGCCGCCGGACGGACTCCAAACATAGAAAAACCTATTGGCAAGGTTTTTCCAGCCGCCGGACAGACTCCAAACATAGAAAAAACCTAGCCGATCAACGAAAACCTCGTTGGTTAGGTCCAGTTAGGAACAGGTTCCATTAAAATTCCCGATGCCGACCGCCAAAACGGATTTCAGATTCTTAATCTACACCCCAAAAAACATATAATTAAAAAAACACGATTTTTTTGGATGCACTTAATCTAAAGTAATACCGCAATCAAGAAATCCATCTTCGGCTAGCTCTGACTGTCCATAGCGCATGATAATATTCGTAACAAGTTTATAACACTTCCTGAGAGCTGTAAGAGCAAAATAAACTCAATTTTATTGATGTTCCTCAATCAAAACGCTAAATACAACCTCCTTAATGGAAGAAATATTGGAGTTGCTTGCACGGTGGCCCAGTGTTTGATCCAGCAGAGAACCCACACCTGCAGAGAAGAACGGGTTTGAATTGAAGCACGGAAGCAGTGAGTTGGGAGTTCGAGACCGCATCACGAAGTGAATGTTCTGCGATTTTAGGAATCGGCGACATGCCTGCGGCCCAATAAACGCTGAAACCATAGTATATATTATATATATTTTATCATAGTGCCCACCACTCTTAGTCTATAGAATTTTCTTTCATCATATTTTTAAATTAAAAAATTATAAAATTTACTTATGTCGGTTTTGAGGAGTATACTTTTTTCTTGGTGATGTGGGTGCCCCGATAGCTAGAAAATAAGCTCCACATTATAACGAGAATACGCCCCACATTCCTTCTCTCACCCCTAAGTATCAATAATGTTGTTGACGGGTTGGGGAGAAAGAGTCACGACTCACGCGTTGAGCGCCTGTAACTTCTTGACTCAATATTATCATTATAAATTAATATTATTCACAAAAATTATTGTGCTGATGCGATCCAGAAACCGGTAAAACATATTTTCAAAATATCCGTATATGCGGATGTATTTTTGCAATTTGCCGCGAAACTCAAGAAATTATGGTTCAGTGTCCCCTTTAGCTTTACGTTTGATGACATTGTACAAATCTTTTTATTCAAGAACAGATCTCCCCTGAAATCGTTAGACCTAAATTTCATTTTAGCATAGTGACAGAAATTTTTCATCTAAAAGCTAACAAACATTTTAGTGCCTATTTTACAACTCACAAGACCACAGACAGTTCCTGTTGTGGTGGAGGCTTTAAGAGGAGATGTAGTCATATAGGATGAAGTGCGTTTAGAGAGACTGAAAAAAATTAATGAAAGGAAAGCAGCATTGAGATATAAAGTATGACTGGAAATAATGGATGATGTACGTTGGGCAAATAAGATGTACCTGTGGAACTTGAGAAGTTGAGAGGGAACAAATTGGATCGTAAGTGTCATGCAATAGTATGAAAGTGTGAGTTAGGCCTACATGAATTAAAACCTGGGCTCACCATGGGAATAATAGAGTAAATAGACCAAGAGAGAAATGGATGATAACAGACCACTACAGTCACTACAGGGTGCATCAGGGATCAAATGACAAATGGGATGTCAAAGAATGTAAAAATGGAGGAAAGAAATAGAAAAGTGAGTGAAATTGTGTGGTTTGGAACCAAGGAATGGAAAGAAAGGGCAGGTGCAGGCTGAGAGCTGAGATTATACAAAATGAAATGATGCCAAAGTATAAATTATAATGAATACATATAGGTATGATGGAACTTGGAAGTAGAGGCGGAGGCAGTCTCAGGCAGAGACCTAATTTTCTGTGTGAGACTGAGAGTGATGAGTGATGACTAGTGATGACTGATGAGTGAATGCTTTGAGTGTGAATGCACAGACATACATTTGGAATGAAAGAAGAGAGGATATTTGTTTTATGTATGACAGAGGACTAAGGAGAAAGCCTGCAATGCATGGCTGATGGCCGTTGGCCCCTTGTAAAGGCCTGACTCTGGAATATTCCTTTTCAGACTCACCATGCTGCAAATCTAAATCAGTGTTACTTGGATATTTCAATACAAAAAGTCTAACAATATATTTTCAATCTATTTCTGGTGATTAGTGATAACTGTATCAGTGTATGAGTGAGTGACTATGTCTAATAATTGATCGCACTTTCTTATGCTGGTTTCAGATTCAGACAGTGTGGACTGTGGAATTATAGGAATGGCAGTTCACTTATAATAAAGTTTTACACCCAAGGTGGAATGATTTACTTTGAAAAAAGCACTCTGCCAGGTAGCCAGCCTGCCAGTGCCAGGTGACTGATTATAAAGGAAAAGGGGATCAAAAGTGGGCAAACTGTTTCAGTTGTGTAGTAGGTAGGGTAAACGCGGTATATTCCGACACATTAAGGACGCATCGAGAAATGAAAAACTATAAAAAAACCGTATGCGTTACGTAAGTTCTGTTGCCTTCACATGACTCTCAAAACACTTCACTACGCGTCAGCAACGATGAAACGTCACAAAATGTTGCCATATTTATTAAAAAGCCTTTAGAATGGAAATATTTCAACCATCAATGAACGCATGGAACTAAAACAAAGCTTAATATAAAGGAAAAGCTGGAGAGGTGACGGAATTACCTACGATGTCGGAATATACCGCGTTTACCCTACATCACATTTGTTATAGATTTGTTTAGTTATCTCTTTCTGATTGACATATTTTATTTATTTATTTTATTTAATGGATTTTTTTCAATTTTTCTGGCCCTTAGTAATGATTAAGTTTAAATTGTGTACCTATTAAATATTAAGTTAAGTACGGTAACTTTAATAATCAAATTAACTAGTACACATACCATATTTAGGCACAACCAATGACAGCTGGAAAGCATGACATCACAATCCCACAAAGTGACCATCCAATCACAGCTGGAAAGGAATATCATCAACAGATATGTATAAAATGGACTGAAAGTACAAAGTTCCTGGCCTTTCCAAGCTTTCAGGTTGCAGGCCCTGCTTTCTAAACTATCAAACTTGTCCTGCTTTCCAAAATTCCAATATGCCATATGTACTGGTTAATTTAATCCCCTTCTAGAATAACACACTGGTTTCAAAAATGTGAATTTCTACATCTTTTTTTGCTTGCCTACTAATTCATCTTGTTTGCAAGATAACAACTGCAAATGTTCAATTATTTTTGATTTTTAGCACCATGTCACCATAGTACAAAATTGGGACAGAAAGCTAGAGGCCAGTATTGCAGTTTGGACAACTTTTTGTCAATAACATTTTTCAAATATAGTTGATTTTTATGTGCAGGAGCCAAGAAGAGTGACTCATTAGTATTGCTTTGATTGAATCACAAGCCATAATTTTGTTCAAATATGGAGTTTGGAGCAGGATTAACCAGGGTTCGCAGCAAACCTGGCACCACCATTGCAAACAAGTCATACTCATCAAGTATACAAATGTATTACCAGCCGCCTGTTGGTAACATTTCTCTTGCAGAGTTTGATTCAATGGCCATAGAGAGACTTAAAGGTATGATAAAACATTCTAAACATTCCAATTCTAAGTGTTGATGGGTTGATATTCAAACTTTTTGTAAGCAAATACATTAACCATTCTTGATTATATTTACCTTAGGTATATCTATAGGTATGATAAGTTGAGGTTCCATCAGCTGATGATTTATTATGATAGTTAGAATATCCAATTGTCGCAATTAAAATTTTTAAATTTATTAGCATTGTGCAAATGCAAAATGAAACATTGTTCAAAATGTTGTAACTGCTTTCTCTTTGAGTGTCTCGTTATACTTCTGCATGCGAAATGTACCGTAATATCCAAAGTATACAGGTGGTGTTGCAGAAGACATTTCAGTTCCTTGTTTATCATGAATTTATCTATACCACATAAATAAATATTTTCTAACATTTCCTTAGGTAATATCACTATTGTTGATGAAAGATAGCAATTGCTTCAAGAAATCTTTTAAGCTAAATTTGTATGTAAATTGTTGCCCTCAATTCTTATTACAGTTTTGCGTACTATTGAGCGCCTCAACTTGAATGGACCAATCAGAGGATCTGAGGAGTGGGTCACAAAGATCTATGAAGATTTTCACAAAAACAAAAATTTTGTTGTTTCTTCTGTAAGTATTTTAATGATCTACTTTTATGTGTTTTACCTTGGCAATGCTCTGAATTTGGCGAACTTTCAAATGTCTACCAAATGAGTTTAATCAAAATAAACTTAAGTCACAGTTGATCATGTTTACTTCTTTTATTGGTATCTACAACTCATTAAATTTTGAAATCTACTCATGCAATTTATCGAATTTCTTATGACTAGATATGATCACAATCCTACTTTTTTAAGGAAAAATTATTTTAAAGTTTGAATTATTTTATTTGATCTATTATTTTCTGAAGACTAAGTTATCACTTGCTCGCCACAGGAGCGCATCTCAGAAACAAAAGCTGCAGAAGTGGAGGAGGCGCGTCGCCGCGACCACATCTCACATTTTGTGCTGCGGCTCGCGTACTGCCGGACGGAGGAACTGCGCCGCTGGTTTGTGGCCCAAGAAGTCGATCTTTTCAGAGCTCGTTTCCTCCACACTTCCAACTCGAAGCATGAGATGACGTCATTCATAAAGGAAAATAATCTCTACTTTGCTGCGGTAAGTGAATAATGAGGCAATGATCATTTGCATAGAAAATTAAATTATCTTCTATCTTGATGTTTGTTTGACTGAACTTTACAAACTAAAATTTAAATGGCTATTAATAGCTTCCCTAGATTGGCAAATTTGTCAGTTTTATGTTTAAACCGTCACGAATTTCCTTATGCTTCATATTTTCTTGATACCAACGTTCTTCAAGATGATACATATTGTCAAGCATAAAAGAAATATGCATCAATGATCGTTCTCACATTTATTTTTGTCTCCTTTTACATTATTTTGTTGTGTCTATTTACTCTATTATTACTATAGCTTTTTTGGTTTTTGATGTTTGAAAATAGTATTTCCCGAGTTATTAGTTCCTCAAAAATTTGTCTTTTATTTTAATTTGATGCCCATTTACTTACGTTGCAGATTTCTAATGAAGAACTTGTGTCTGAGCGCGAGAATTTGATCGCTGGTACAGCAAAGATAATGAGCGGTGACCAGTTGGAGGGTCGGACCTTCTATAAGGTGCGTATTGCTACCCGCGTGGTAAGTGTTGCTCTCACAACACGTATCATGGCTGCCCTAACAATGCATATATATCAGGGCTACCCTTGTAACACGTACTCGGGGCTACTCTGATAACATGTTTCGTGGCTGCCGGCTGTGCGGCGGTGTTCACTCCTGCTATTGCGGTGAACATAGCCGTGGCTTTTCATCTACACCCGTATGCATTACTCACGACATATACGTTTGTAAAGGAGCTGTCGAATCCAAGACAAAGTTTATTTGCCATTAGAATTACCTTATGATTTTCTTTATTGTTATCATTTCTATTGTTACTAATGATGCTGCATTGCGATCATCACCGCTATTGTAAAGTTGTTACTATCATCATTGTTGACAAATACCTACTTGTAATGATACTAGTTTACACGTCATTTTTATTGCATGACAATTGTTTACACTTCATTATTATTAACCGTTGTTTGTAATCATTATCGTTACTGTGGTGTCGTTGGTATCATCATGGTTATTGTAGCCTGATTAGTAACATATCGATGTATTGTAACTAATAATCAAAGTTATCAGTATGGTAATGAAGAGGTTTGTGTGGCACAGGTGCCCTTCACCGACGCCCTGGACCTGGTGAGGACGCGCCGCGTGTACCTGAGGCGCGGTCACGCCTACGTGCCAGACACCGAGCTTGTCACGCTTATCGCCGGCGTCTATAGGGCGCACCTGTCCAGAGCTCTCGCAGTCTGTACTTCTATCTTGTAGTTACATGAGTAATACTCATTTAATACTCATGTAACTATGCTCATTAATGTTACTTATTGCTAATGTTTTTTGTATTATTTATACTAGGTACACTGCTGCCGTCAATTTAGATAGAATTTTTTATATGACATTGCTTGCATCATGTAGGTCATATTTATGTTTACACTATTTTAAACCGATATACAGATAGAGGATTTCGTGCCTTTTTGTTACCCAATTTTTTTTGCGTCTAATGCACCGACCTCAATGTAACCTTATTCTTTATAGAAATTATTTATAAGGTCGTAACTTTTGTTTAACTTTCTTCACTGTTTACAAAAAATATCAGAATTCTGTTTCCTGTTGTTACATTTATTGCTTGTATTTAATAATATCTTCGGCATTGGCCCTGTATTAAGCAATTGTTTTACTTCACAGTTAAATGATTAGTTAGTTTTTCTCATAATCGCCATTATCCTGACAAATAAAAGTATTTTCACCCTAACTGCTTGTATCACTACGATTCAATGCTGTCTTATGCTGAACAATATCATGACGCGGTAAAAGCAATGAAGTTATATGTTGCAGCAAACATGCCGCGCACTGCCGCAGCTGGAAGACGACGAACGGCTTGTGAAGTTGTTACAAGACTTTGACAGCCGTCACACGGGTGCAGATTTCTCATCTAAACCCAATAACTCGGCCACCATCACCCCAGCCATGCTTGACACTCTTTCTAATAAGTTAGTTCCTTGTCAGAATGACAATATTACTTAAGCCTTTATCCGTAACTTATCAGACCCGCTCTACTCCGGCCTGAAAATCCCTTGTCAATATTGAATATCAAGTTAAGACTGTGTCAGTCGCTTTTGAAAACAATGTCTTGTGATTTGGTCCCGTTCTTTGTCATAATGATTCGGTTTCTTCGGCGTTGGTCGGTTCCATGTGAATCAAGATCTCTGATTCTAGCAGGATTCAGTTCCTTGTCTCTATGATCTTCGACTCGGGCACGAGTCTGTTACTTGTCGCTCACAATATTTATCTCTGTCTACAGATTTTCTTTAACTCCAACGATTCCTCGATGCTCATTTCCTGAATTATTATTCAGGAAATCATTAAATTTATTATTATTCATTAGATTAGATTATCATCTCTGTTTAGAATTATTATCATTGTCTGTTCTCAGTTCAAGATATAAATATGATGCCAATAGCTACTGATGCGTTGTTCAGGTCTTTCCCGCTGTGCATGCGTAAGCTGCACGACACCCTCAACTCGACGCATCACCTGAAGCACGGCGGCCGCATGCAGTACGGCCTGTTCCTCAAGGCGGCGGGACTGTCTCTCCAGGACGCCCTTCACTTCTGGAGAAGTCATTTCATCAAGAACATGGATGCTGACAAGGTAATGAGAACTATATTTACATTGGAGATAGAAAATCTACTAGTGAGCAATTCGAGCAATGAATGGAGACTGACTATTCCTGAGTTTGAGTGGGAAAAGAAAATACCGTATTGAGCTGGTCGACGAGCAGTACACATACCGCATACCTAATGCACAGCTATTGCTGTGCGTTATGTTATTAAGGCAGTTTGACGTGCATAGGCTTCCCAAACTTCATATGCACTGAACTATAAAAGTGATATGTTCTAAAAATAACATGTTTTGACCAACATAGTACACATATTGTTGAAATTACACAGTGTCATAAGTAAACATTACAGCACCCGTTCTTGACGAAATCGTATTAGTCTTTACTATATTATTGGGGGTCAGCCCCGTCTAAAGGTCGATGCAGGCAGGGCAGAGATAGGCAAACGACATGACGGTAGTCAATGGAACATCCACAACAGAGACAAGCAAAAGCCTGTTTTTTAAAATAAATGTAATAAACTTTACAAACTTCATTAAAGCAGAAGCTCACCAAAGTATGTTAACACGTTGCGCTATCCCTTTTGCAGTTTGACAAGCAGTACGCTTACTCCATCCGCCACAACTACGGCAAAGAAGGCAAGCGCACTGACTACTCGCCCTACAGTTGCATTAAAATTATATCTGGCAACGTTGGTCCTGGCGATGCCCACGGTTGTCCTTTCAAAGTAACAGACATCCCAGTGTTGCGTCAGCGTCTCAATGCATACGGAGTTTCTTCTGCAGGTAAAATTTTTCTATGGTTTAATTTATTATGTATTTGCTGGTGAAATGGGCGGTGATGATTTCACACTGACAATAATACTCCAGGTCCTGGTAATATTTCACGACAGGTGTCGGGAATACGCGTCACAAAGGCCCGTTTAGAATTTATGTGCTAGGCAATCAACACGTATATTCATGTATTAAATGTAAACAGATTGACGGGTGGTTTCTCGCGACGGTTAATTCTTGAGATTTTAGAATGCCGTCATACTTACTCCGTTATTAATTGTTGATAATAATAGATCGCTTAAGCATAGTTTATTAAAAAGAGACACGTTAATCCCCAATTTCATCATGCAACTTATTTTGAATAGCAAAGGAAACGTGAACTTTTAATTGCAGAATTTAGTTTCTATTTACGAAAATAAATCACATTTTCATTTTCTAGTCCAACTCCACGACATTATTTTTCTGTTTCGTGCTTCTACCGTTAGAAGTGAAATTCAAATTAAATATCCCGACACGATAAGTATCGTCGCCTCACTTTCTCATAACTCATGAATATATCGGCCGCCATGCTTCAAAAAACCCACAAAATTTCACAGGGAGACTTTACCTAATATATATAAATATATGTATATATAGGAGTTAATTTTTTTATTCGTCTGAAGCAAAACGTCACGCAAAACGCACTGGTCTAACCCAGCAGTCACGACCTATTTTAACCGTAGGGCCGCACTCGACATGATGTCTTAACCTTGAAAACCCCATTAGTGCTAGGACATATCAGACATACACATATCATAGTTGATATATCAAACCTACGTTATGCCCGAGGTGAGAACATAGAGATGACAGACCAAACCAACGCAACACCATAGATGAGATCACTGGACTGAAATACCAGACAAAATTGGCACAAATAAAGAGGAATTGAACAAGTTTTGTCTCAAAGTAATTGTATGTGCGGCCTGGGCAAGGCAGCCTTGTGATGGCATTTAGGCAATGTCGCACTATGTCTTGTTGAATGTCTAGGCTAAGGTACCGTCCCAGGCTGTGTGTAGCACACGGTCTCTAGGTTGGTGAACTATTGGTAAGTTAGTTAGTTTTCTATTATTGAACTAGTAAATAGTACTCGCTCACTTTTTTATACTGATTATAAGTCACCTAAAGCCTGTTTCTTCCAATATTCTCTCAGTTTTCTTTCGCAAGATTACTTGTTCATTACTTGCTTATTGTTGTACTTACCTTTTTATTGAGGTTATTAGTTTTTGACTATTCCTGGACTAATTTGTTGTAGTGGCTGCCGAAATCGCCGAGCTTGCTGGTAAGGGTCATTACCAAATAGCGTGCCAGAAGTACTTTGAAGCTACCCACAACACTGCACTGGACGTCGGCATCAACCACCCTAACCAGTACCTCGAGGAGAGCAGAAAAATCGCCGCACTCGCGCCGGAAGCAAGATCCAATCTTCCAAGTCAGTATTGCCTTACTCAATGTATTGCGTTTTTATTTTTAATGAGGGTGATGGAAATGGACTAGCTGCAAATGAATGTATATAATGAAAAAAATTAATTTTTTTATTACTCTTCTTTTTCTGGTTACAAGTAGAATATCTAACATTTTTATATTTTATAGGTAATGCTAACGAGATACTAAATTATTTGGAGCATTCATTTGACGAGTGATCATCATTAATATTGAAGCGTCCGGTATTTAGCTGCAAATAATTGACCATAAATAATCAATATTTACTGTTGGTAATATATCAGGGATTTATTTAATAAAGTTGATGTATTGCAGAGAGCAAAGCAGAAGTAAAAGGGAAACGAGTCGTCCAGGCATCACAGCAGGACGCGTCCGTGACCATCCCACCCAAGAGCTGCGCGGACGAGAAGCTGCAGGATGAGTTTGACGACATGGACGTCGACTTTGATTTACTGGATGCTGCAGTCGAGCAGCACCAATTGTGAACTGCGAGCCATCCATATCCGTTGGGGTGATGCACCCTTTTTTACATTTTGTTTGTTTACAATGTGACTAGATTCCAATTTGAGAAACCCGAACCGTTTAGTTGTAAATCTGCGGTATAATTTTGTGGTTTTCTAGATTTAAGGTCGATAAAGAAATTGTCGCTGGGGACCTGAAAAATTCATCTAAAATAGAACATCAAGAAAGTTGCTCAGTGTATTTAATTTCACCGAACCCTCGTGTCAATATGTCGGACTTTTAATGCCCAGCCTGTATTACACAAACTATAAAGAACAAAGGAATACGGCTGAAAAATAACCTTACAGCGACTCCTGAACGTTATTTTGGACATAGTGCTCAGCGCAGGACCTCCGAAATCTCGCTCCGAAGCCTTCCTTGTGATGGCTCGTGAGGTCTCACCGCTCGGAGATGTGTGGGGATGTAGGTGCTTCTCCATGGGAATGGGTGCTTCTCCATGGGGATGTGTGCTTCTCCATGGGAATGTGTGCTTCTCCATGGGAATGGGTGCTTCTCCATGGGGATGTGTGCTTCTCCTCCTCCCACCACTGCTGTCCATACCTCCCTCCACTGCTGTCCATACCTCCCTCCACTGCTGTCCATACCTCCCACAATCGCTGTCCATACCTCCCTCCACTGCTGTCCATACCTCCCTCCACTGCTGTCCATACCTCCCACAATCGCTGTCCATACCTCCCGCCCTCCATACATTCACACCTTTTTTTTTAATTCGTCGTTCATCAAAGATTTCGATACTAGGGCTCCTCGCAATTAATTCCCAGCACCAAATCCCAAATGTTCGTCTATGATTCTCTATAAATTATCGCCTTGTTTTTCTAAAGAAATTGTCATAACAGTTTTCGTTTCTTGTATCTAAAGCCTGAAGCTTTGTATCTATGTAATTGCTTTCACCTTGCATTTTTGAATATCGTTATCTCTATCATAAATAAAATATTTTTTGTTAAATATCGGAAAAAATTTAAATACACGTGCTAAATAACGTCTCAATATTATAAAAGCGCGAAATAAATAAAATACCTATCATATAGCCACACGTCACATCAATCGTGACACTTCCATCCACATGTGACTGCTCATCTCTAAAACATGAGAACCTCATAGCATCAGTCGACTTGTGCCATGAATTGCCTACTCACTTAAAATAAAGTAATAAACATTTATTCAGCAGGAGCACCCCATTTTACCCGAATTAACTTCCAGTGTTGTGGGTGTAGTGGGCTAGTGGCAAACAAGGTATGAATAAGAATGATCGATGAAAACTATTGTTATAAACAAACTTTAATGTAATAATGCAAGAATAAAACACTAAATACCGTGTGTTTTCGTTTAGGCCAACTATCTCGTTTAACATGAATCTAAATCCTTGTTTCGGAGCCTTTCTGCAAACATGACAAACACAAATTTTAACCTCGTGATAATAAAGAATTCAACTCCTTATATACAATGGAGTCAATAAATGAACAAGGAACACTCAAAAATAATAATTCTCAATCGCTAATAAAAACCACTGATTAAACTTTTGCACGAATAAATCAAATAAACACGGCTTGTAAAACGACGCACTTTTGAGGTGGAAGCACATGTCGCAATGGAAAAGGAAACGACGGATTGGATGCGAGGTCACGTCAGTGGTGACTGAACCCCACACGTGTAATAACATTCATACTATTGCGATCCCCTACACCAATACTTGAGCACTAATTTCGAAATTACCTCGGAATTGCTTTTCATAAATTTTCGTCATCTTCGCAGCAACTGTGTAAATTGATTGATTGGCAAACCTGTGAAAGGGATTGATTTTTAAGGAGTCAACAACAAAATATTATCAGATAAGTGAGATAACTAATTTCCACGACAATTGTCCTTTGCTCCACCATACTCTGTTGTAGTCGCCGTACTTGCCTCTGCCATACTCCGCAAAACGCCAGCCCTGCGCTGAGATGTTGACGCGGTTCATCTATTGTTGACGTTGACGTGATGACGTCACTCGAGGCGCCATGTGTGAGCATCACATCTCGTGCAGCATCATCACTCACGGCCTAATAGGTTCTGTTGTAGGCCTAATACAATTTATTACAGGCCTTCCATAAAGCCCCCAACTGTTTAGCAGATGATCGCAAGTTCCATGATGAAAATGTCGCATTTCGTACTGTAATTTTACTTAAAATATTAAGAAATATGATCAATTTAATATGTTACGTTGGGGGCTTAAATCTTATTCTTATTTTCTATACCTCAAGGTTTAGCCACAGAGAAGTGGGAAAGAACAAAAATAGGATGTTTCGTCTAGTTAGAATTAGTGGCATACTACAGAGTGAACATACCGATATAAGTGTAAACTATCCTTAACAACGAGGGTTAAAGGAGAGGAATAAGATGAAAAATAGCGCCGCGTTGAGGTCAGCGGTCGTCGCGGTCTCAGTGAAGTTGCGTGCCAGTGACGCAGCGTCGCTCGCGGCGTGTGGATGTGTACGTTGGTGTAGCTGAGCAGCTCCGTGGCGACGTGCCACATGTGACTGCCTTCGCTGTCTTGCAAGGAAAACTATACAACAACTCCTTGCTTTGTGCAGAGCAATTACACGGCTCGATGTCTTCTTTGTTTATGTGAACTCCACGTGTACACTGGGACAAGGTTGATGTCGGACAAAATGATGATATGTGAAATGAAGACGTTCGATGAAAAATTATCTCTACAATGAGAACAAGTTCAAGTGGGATGCGAACATATCATTTACGAAGTAAAACCCAAAATAATTTCCGCATGCAAGACTGTGCGTGTTCCCAAAAATAGGTTGAATGAAAGATTATTCTATTTATGTGTTCTTCAGTGTTCCATGTATTTATTCGTGAATGTTTAATGCATTTATTTGTGCGTGTTTCGGGAATATCGTTATTTCATGCTAGTGTTTGTGTTGTGAGCGTTTCACTCTAAGGTTTGTGAGCGTTTCACTCTAGGGTTTGTGAGCGTTTTACTTTAAGGTTTGGGAGCGTTTCCCTCTAAGGTTTGTGAGCGTTTTACTCTAAGGTTTGTGAGCGTTTCAATCTAGGGTTTGTGAGCGTTTCACTCTAAGGTTTGTGAGCGCTTCACTCTAGGGTTTGTGAGCGTTTCACTCTAAGGTTTGTGAGCGCTTCACTTTAGCGCTTCACTTTAGTGTTTGTGAGCGCTTCACTCTAGGGTTTGTGAGCGTTTCACTCTAAGGTTTGTGAGCGCTTCACTCTAGGGTTTGTGAGCTTTTCACTCTAGTGTTTGGGAGCGTTTCACTCTAAGGTTTGTGAGCGTTTCAATCTAGGGTTTGTGGGCGCTTCACTCTAGGGTTTGTTTGTGAGTGTTTCACTCTAGGGTTTGTGAGCGCTTCACTCTAGTGATTGTGAGCATAATAAGTCAACTATGGTGAACCGCGCTCAGATGAAAGAACTCATTTGCAGTCATATGGTTGAAATTATATCAAGTCAGATGGCTGAAATCTGCCAGTGCTTCATCTAGTCTTGCATGCTCGAGGAAGGTTTCTCGTCCTACAAGTTACGGTCAACGTTTAAGTGTACTGACATGTGACTTATCGTGAGAACGTTCTAGACTAAAAACCATGCCCAACCAATAAAATGAAGCGATCTAAATGAACAAACCACGCGTGTAGAACAACAACTATCTTATTCTACAGCCACGAGTCTCAAACTCTGCGAGACGTTACTTCCAAAACTTGAGATCTTGGTACAAGGTCATTCGATACAAGTTCATGTACATGGGTTTATAATTATGACGTGTCTTTAATACGTCATCGCTATTATGTCAGTACGGCAATTCTTACGAAGGTCGCAGGTTTACCGTACGCTCATGGGAGAGCAAAGATTATTTTAGAACCTGAACGATGATGCACAGCAAAGGTCGAGATCACATAGTGAGCCTGCGACGTCGTGAGACAGAGACGTCGTGAGACAGAGACGTCGTGAGACAGAGACGTCATGACCCTGAGAAGTCGTGAGACATAGACGTCGCGAGACGGAAACGTCGTGAGACAGAGACATCGCGAGACAGAGACGTCGCAAGACAGAGACGTCGTGAGACAGAGACGTCATGAGCCTGAGAAGTCGTGAGACATAGACGTCGCGAGACGGAAACGTCGTGAGACAGAGACGTCGCGAGACAGAGACGTCGCGAGACAGAGACGTCGTGAGACAGAGACGTCGTGAGCCTGAGAAGTCGTGAGACAGAGACGTCATGAGACAAAGACGTCGTGAGACAGAGACGTCGTGGGAAAGACAGAGACGTCGTTAGACCGAGACGTCTTGAGACAGACGTCGTGAGACAGAGACGTCGTGAGACATAGAAGTCGTGAGACAGAGACGTCGTGAGTCTGCAGCGTCGTGAGCCTGAGACGTTGTGAGCTTGCGACGTCGTGAACCTGCGTTGTTTTTACGGAAGTCTTCATTGTAATTGCACCACCTGAAGGCCCTTGCCTGCATTGCTGTCCATGCCAGTTTTCCAAACAAATTCTCGCAGTAACTCAACATTTGGCTCCATAATCCGACTTTGTCTGGCACCGCAAGAACAGCGCGGTTTCTTCGGACTTCCAGCCTATGGTTCTGGCTTTGTAATTAGGTTAAATCGCGCAATATTGTTTGAGACGTGGGAATATACATACAATGAACAAACAATGCAATGCACAATGCGAGTTGAATGATATAGTTGAATATTGGCTGTAAATACCGTAGATCTTTGCAGGTCACACCCGCGCAGATGATTGTAATATATTATTTTTGTATTACTGTATTATTTTGTACTATATTTTTGTTGATATATCATAAAATGCTTCCATTGGTATTGATAACATGACTGATTATTCTACAGTTTACCGTGTGTTGATTGAAAAGCCTTGGCATTGTGACTGGTTCATATACCATTTATCCAGAGGTGAATGCAAAGTGTTGGCAACGTGGCTGATTCTTCTACCGTTTACGTGAGAATAGTGCTAGGTGTTGACAACACGGCTGAAGCTCTTGCATGACTCAGTGACGGCATCTGTAAACTCGACTGTTTAAGTTGACATTGACTCCTCGATAATGACAACAGTCATTGCAACACAATTGAATCGATCAACATTGATCCACACTTTCAACTATGCAGTATTTGGTGAAGTTCTCCATATTAAATATTGAACAATTACATACCCTGCGCTGGGCAGCGCTTCATTTTGAACTTTGAAGGCACGACGAAAATCACTTCTTATTCACTCCATGTATGCATGGCCGGGCATATTCTTGACACGCTTAAAACGCGCGCATAATTCAGTGAATTGAACAATTTAATGCGGCGTGTCACGCGCACCGGGGGACGGGGGTGATGAGGGGANAGGAGAAAAAATTTGTGGTGATTCGAACTTCTTACTTATAATTCTGTCTCTTATACACATCTAGATGTGTATAAGAGACAGGGGGTGAGGTGATTCCCCTTGCTTGCTGTGATTCGTCGAATCACAGCAAGCATTTCCGTATCTTGGATGCGACGTCGCAGGCTCACGACGTCCCAGGTTGACGACGATGTGAACTATATTATTATTAATTTCTTATATTATTGCAGAAAGTAAACTAATCCAGAACACGAATTATTATTTTAAGTAACTTTAGTGAATGAATTTTCGGATTTATTGTTGCTCACTGGCGCGTCTGGTGAATTTCATCGTCAAAAGTGAGCTGTAATCAAAGAATTCATGATGGCGAGAAGACGACAAATCTGGACTGTGATGTCAACAGCCGTGATGCTGGCTACCACTGTGATGATGGTGATTCCTGTGATGATGGCGACTCCTGTGATGATGGCCGTAGCGCAGCCCGGAGCTGGTAAGTGTTACTAAAACTTATAAATGTTTATTCTATCGTTTTCCACACCATATTTTATGTTACCATTTTATTCCAAAATGACTGGACGCTATTCCTAATAGACCCAATTATTTATCCCAGTATTGACAGTGTTTATCAAATAGTTAGGCGCTTCCCGCTCTTGGGGAAGAGAGTTGAGGAAATTTAGAATGTAGGTACGAAATAAGGAAAAGATTAAAGGTCCTGACACTGCAGAGCACAATTATAGTCGACGAGTCGAGCTCAGTATGCCGGCTGCTTGGCCGGAGTATAGAAGGATAATATTTGTTTTCAGCCTCATTTTATGTAACAATGTTACTCGAGATACACTGCTATTTGGGGAATGGTGGATGCAGTTTGAGGAACGACCGTCGTGTTCAGTATCGTCGTGTTCAGGAACGCTCAGTATACGAGACTACCTGGCAGTAAGCAGCTTCAAGTTTGCTGCAGTAGCACAAGCC